CAATGAATATCCTTATATGGGGTTAAACACTGATGGTGAAAAGCCGTTTCCCACACAATCCATCTTTATTGGTACTGAATGACATATAGGTAGAAAGACAGAACGATGCAGAGAAAGACGCTAATTTGGCATTTCCTAATGGAATTAAATACAATTAAATAAATTTTTTATTGTAGCCCAGGTTTGTGTTATCATGAATCAGCGAGCTAAGAATCCGATTTTCCTACATCCAAACAAAGATAGTAGAAGGTTAAGTGTACATGTACTATACAGGTTGAAGTGCCAGTAGGCTAATTTCTGTTTTGGGACCTAAATAAGAGGGTAAATGTGGTTAATTAAAAATACATACCAAAGATCAAATCAAAGGTTATAGAAACTAGACTTAACCCAAGCATTAGCTCACGCTCGTAAAAATAAATTACACATTGTTAGATAATATTAATGTAGTTTTTAATCTTAATCTTTAACCTGCAGTGTAACATTTGTGAATATCCCAAATGTTACAGTGCAGCCCTCCCAAGGCCAACAGCACAGTTAGCAATGGTGAAGACTGCAGTGCATAAGGAATTGGGTATTCTACTCCATTGACCCACCATGGACTAATTCTGGAAAAAATCTACTGCTTATTCAAGACCAAAGCATATTTGTCAGTACGGCTGTGGTGTCAGAGATGTGAGTATTACTTTCAAGTAATGACCAATGATGAATAACCCATTTCCCATAAGAAACAATCACCTAAAATCTCGGGGCAAAAAAAAGTCTCGGGGCAGCCCTAGTTTTCACAGTGTTTAATGCTCAGTTTGTAGAAATGAACACACATTTTGTGCTTACACAGTAAGGTCTAAAGCATTACCACAAGAAAAACAAACACAAGGATGAATAACAAGAGACTGACTGGCAGTTATGGGAGGATGCCTGCTCCGACTGCCAAAAAATTAGGAGGAGTGCAGAGAATTAACAGGAGGGTAGAAGTTCCTGTCTGCTTAATGTATGTATGTTTGCATGAGCTGGTCTATGGGAATTTCCATATGGCAACCCCTCCTTTCACCTACAGGGTCTCAACATCCCCATAATGACTTTGAGCTAAGTCTTTTGCTGTCCATATTAATACAGACGTAATTGGGTTTTTAAGTTTTGTCACTGTAGGCCAGGGAGCTTTGGTGAAAGATGTCTTCTTTTAGGTCTCACTGAATTGCATTGTATGAATTTTTTTTAGGTCAATGGGTTTGTTGTTGGGCTTTTTTTTAAATGAAGCAGAGTAAAATGGTCTTCCCATTGTTATGTGGAATCGCATATTGAATTTCCTCTGCTGACAATGAAATGAGAAACAGAGATGAAGACAGGGCTAATGAAGGGAGGGAGAGAGGGAGGTTGCAAACAATGTTGACAAGTTATTTAGTCAAGCAAACATTGCAAAGTAAAAAGGACTTTAAAAAATATATGTTTGTCCTGAAAAAAAAAGTCTGCTGCTTTCCCTCAGCAACACCGTGCTTTAACTTCACGCGCCCATACTGGGAGCTGCCCAGTACGATCGCTGTGTTCTACTGGTGCCACAAAGAACTGCATAGACTCTACCTGGTAATGACACAGATAAAGACAGAAGTGTTATTTATCAGAGATTATGTGGTCGTTAGAAGATTAATACCCTCGGGGTGCAAAAGACTTGGGCTGACTTTCATCTCAGACCTGCTGCGGCAGAGACAACGAGGGTTAAAGAGACAAGGAGAGTATATGTGTGTGTGTGTGTGTGTGTGTGTGTGTGTGTGCATCACTTTAATCCCTAATGAGTAGCCTTCAGGGGTCCATAGGCATTTGGCAGTTCTTCACTTCCTGAAAAAATGTCTATCTTCCCTTTAATCTCTTCAGCAGCGACACACAACCCCCCCACCCCCACCCCCACCCCCCTAACACACACACACACCCACACACCCATACACATACACAGACACACCGGTTGTGGTCTTACCACAAGGACTTGTGCAATTAAGCCTATTTTGCCCTCAGAAGCCAACTCTGTGCGTATTTATAGGCCATATATCTATCTGTTAATGTGCGTTTGTGTGTGTTTTTTAGTGAAGCTGTAATTAAGCAAGATCAAACCCTCTGGGTTGGGGAATTAGCCATCATCCAAAGATCAGAAGGTTTTTCTCTCAAGTCTGCGACATGGAAGAGTGAAATCAGAGGTTTGGAGCCAGACAGACAGATTTTGGCCTCAGATAGCAGATAAGGGCGGCTTCTTCCTCTCTCTCAAACACACACACACGCACTCGCACTTTGATGCTTCCGACAGCTTCAGGTGGATTTAAAGTTCAGCTGTTAATGTGCTGAATTGAAGTGATCTTACCTTAGGGCACATCAATCAACACAATAACATGCTTTTATGCCAAAACTAAAGTTAGTGAATGTGCTTTCTGGTCTGTCACTCCGATGGTTAAGGTATGGTTGAGGCCGCTAAAACTACTTGGTAAAGATTAAGGGAGGGATTCCATGTTTAATGGAAAGCACTGCTTTACGTTCTTAGAAAGAGGTCAAATACATGAACACATATCTGCCACTTGGACCTCTAAAGCCATATTTTCCTGTGCTGTAAGAACATTACACAACTCAGATTGAGATTAAATTTGAAAACAAATCATCTAACTGTAGCGTCAACACAAATGTCCCATACGAGTTAAAATTAATCCCAGGAAAAGGAAGCCTGTTTGTCTTTTGTATTAGTTTGAGTTTAATTTCAGGACTGTGTGTTTAGGGTGTCACAGGGTCCCATATAAAACCGGAAATCAGACATCCATTTTCCATGGCATGAACGGAAGCCTTAGATCCAAGAAAAGTATCTATATACACATTTGTACATCTACCTGCATTCTTCTTTCTTTCATATCTAGTAATTAACACTCACTGAGAAATGCACTTAATAATAGTAGTTAAAGATGTGTTTGTGTGGATCTACATTATGTGTATGTGTGTGTGTGAGTGCATGCTTGTAACTCCACCGCTGATAGTGTTTGGGCTTGCTGTGTTTGCTAATCCAATGTACACAAATATGTCTTCTTTAGCTGTGAAAATAAATGTTATCTTGGTGGACGGGAAAAGTTGTATTTGAAATATGAGTTTACCAAAGGATTGTGCATTTGATTCACCTGGGCCTCAGTGCCACCGACATGGTGGGATTTGTTTTGTGCAAAATGTGAAATGTTACTTGTAGATTAGAAGCAAATTCTAATTGGATAGAGAGAGTCATTTAACATCCAGCTGCTCCACGGTGTTTGTGGATGCTGACAGAAGCAGGATTCAGTCAGCATGCTGTTATCTGTACTGTCACCCTGTCAGAGACCACACACGCGTGTGCACACGCACGCACGCACAGGTTCAAGATAGGGAAAGCATATTTTTAAAAAACAGATAACAACCTTGGGGAAATGTGATGTATAGTAAAAATTACATGATTTATAGTGTGGTCCTTTAAATGAACATGTTACTGTTTAATTAGGCATTCATGTTGCTTGTGCTGTTTTTTAAATTAAGATTAAACAAAAGCAGAGCAGAATGCTTGTTGTGTGTGTGTGAATCAAGGAAATGGCAAAGCAACAATGCAGCTTCAAGAGATAGGGGTTCTTCGAACATCTTCCAGCTATGTCTAAATCACGTGCTCCTCAGATTTAAACAGAGCAAACATCAGAGCACACTGGACAGAGAGGACTCTGTGTTTTCTGATTACATTTGTTTGTTTTTCTGTTGTTCTGTTTGCAAGTTGCCCCGAGCCCTTGGATGAGCTATTCTGGGCTCATCGTTTCTAGTCAAACATGGCCTAAGAGGTGATTCTTTACTGAGGAGCCCAGCCAACAACACATATCCTTTCGATTACAATGACGACATTATTTACACACACACACACACAAACACACACACACAGGCACACGCAGGCACACAAGTGCCCTGTGTGTGTGTCTGTGCAGACCAAGGCAGGAGAAATACACAGTAAATGCAATCGCAGGCATTATCTTGCAGACACATGTACGAAGAAATAAACAAGCAGTTTAGACAGTACCACACAGGCACATGGACTCACACGAACGCACAGATGGATGTTCACTAATGCCCTACTGAGAGGAAAACACACAGACTTCATGAAGTGTTGCTATCTACAGCATTAAAAGCACATCCAAACACCAGCCATCGTTTCACAAGTAAACAAAGCAGCGCACATTTTGACACATTCCTCTCTTACTTGGTGTTTTCAGGGTTTCTTTGCAACTTTGCAACCTGTTAGTTTTCTTGTCAAATTCGTTAAGAGAGTTTTCAGCAGCTGGACAGCGGATTTGTGAGCTTGGTTGCTAAAATAAACACACAATCTCCTAATGACTGTTTATCCAATGTCCACTTCACTCTCACAGCCACTAAGTGTGAACTAAATGTTTTTTGACTTAAACCTCATTTTGGCTGAGCTGTGAACTGAAATGGAACATTCTGATTTTACAATTCTGTAAGGAACTCAAAAATGACAACTCTAAGCCAAATGTTTACACCATTATGTAGTAGTAGTACAATAACTAGTAACTAGCACACGCAGGTGTGAAACCTGAATTGAACGCTGTTTTTACTGGCATTTCAACTAAGTTTGGGGTTTTGACAAATGCCTTGTGCGAGATAGCGACATAACAAAGAAATAGGCAGATAATTAAATGTTATTAAGTGATATCACCAATCTTTTATTGAAGCAGAGGTTAGCCAACGGTGATGTGTGCTAGCAGTTATGAGCCAGAGGAATGCCATGGGCTGTTCTGCTGCTATTACATGTTTATGGGCGATGACGTGATGGTAATGGGACAGTGAACTCATCTGGGCCACACACCCACACACAACATGCCCACTGACAGCACTACTGTTGGCAGGAATGCTTAGATTCATGACTTTGCTGTTTTGTAAGTGAAGTTTGGTGCAGGAGCTCAATCGCAGCAAATGTTGCGTTGCACTGTCTGAACATTTCTCTGTCTCTCCAGGAAGAAGACGCAGACATGTCAGAGAGGAGAGATCAGAAGAAGTCCGTCTTTCTTTCCTCATTATTAGTAAGTTTTCATTCTTTCCCTATTTTATCTTTCTCTGTTATCCTACTGAATTATCATCTTAATTTATTTGTTTATTTTCTTCATTGAGTTCTAATCCATTAATTCTCCCCTTTCCCCTATAATGTTCCTCCCTCTTTCTTTCTTCCATTTCTCCACTGTCCCTCTCTTTTTTTTCTTGTTCTTCTTTGCCTCACCACCTCCTTTTCTTTTACGTCACCTTGCCCTCTTAAAATACTGTCAAGCAGTAGATTAACTCCAAAATCATCATCATATTTCTGGTATCCTCAGAAACTCTTATTGGTCCATCGGTATGGATCACAGCCACAATCGGCCCCACACCTGGCACAACATCATCTAGACTTGTGCTGCTATGTGCCAGCAGCTTGCACAACTTTGCAGCACTTGTACCAATTAGTCAGCCTCAGAGTTTTTCAGAGAGCAAATATCTTTATAATCTGACAGGGAATCTAGAGATTCTGTGCTTGTTTTGATGTTGAAACCCACTGGCAGTGCTCCCGACAGCCTCCTCCACTTTACCCTCCCTCCCTCTGTTTTTCTCTCTACATGTGTGCATGCAGGCTGACAAAAGAGAAGTCATGGAGGAAGAGATATACAGTATTTGGATTAAGTCATTGGTGTCAATTTACTACACCACCAAGTAGTGGCCACTAATTTTGAAACAACTTTTATAGACTACATTTCTTGGGAAAGTGTAGATCAGCGGCAAATGACTGATACACTGATATACTATGATTGAGACATAGGCTGCTAGTGTGATATTGTACAATATCACATACAGAGCACAACACTGAATTAGAGGTATTGATATCTGATAACAGTCTGCTTCAGACAGTGGTGGAAAGTAACTAAGTATATTTACTCAACTGCTTAAATACAGACTTACAGATGCACTCTTATTATTATATTATTAAAAGGTGTCACTTTGATTTTCTTATGTTTTAACAATTAATGACTTATAATAAATAGTTAAAAATTAGCTCCAACTCAGCCACCTCAAGAGGAAAATTCACAGCTTATACAAAACTGTATGAGTAATAATAGTCTAATAGAATAATATATGATAGTAAAACAGTAAAGGGGGCGGGGGGTTTTACTTAATTAACATTTTCATCACAGGACCTTTACTTCTAATGAAGTACATACAGTGTGGTATTGGTACTTTTACTTAAATAAAGGATCTGAACACTTCGTCCGCCATCTGTTTCTGTAAACACTCCATGTGGTTTACGATTCAAGGGTGTTCCTGCCAAATTGTAATACAAATTGAGCTGTGAGGGATAACAAAAGGACCCACTGGATGTGTACACTCCTATGTTATACAGACCTGACTAAATATCCTCCCAAAGCTTTGTGGGATAGCTGGCCTAAAATTGGCCTGCGAAGAATATCGGTGTGACAGGAAGTTTGTTTTTCCAGCTGCGGGAAAAAATTGTGGAGAACAAGATCATTACTGCAGTTTCTTCAAAGACAAACAAAGTGCTGCTCAGCAGCTGATCGCACAACGCTTGCTTGCAAATGCTAGTTACAAGTGAGTGACTTGTAACTGTGTGACACACTGACAAAGAGTGTCAGAGAACCTAATTGGTTCCAGTGGATGGTCACTGTGTTAGGAATGCAGATGTGTACCTTAGGCTGGCTACAATAAAAGGCCACTCGAAAATGTGCAGTTTCACTGTATTGGGGGGGTCCGGGCGGGTCCGGAAACCAGTCAGTATCTGGTGTGACCACCATTTGCCTCACGCAGTGCAACACATCTCCGTCGCATAGAGTTGATCAGGTTGTTCTGATCAGCATCTTGATATGCCACACCTATGAGGTGGATGGATTATCTCGACAAAGGAGAAGTGCTCACTAACACAGATTTTGACAGATTTGTGAACAATATTTGAGATAAATAGGCCTTTTGTGTACATAGAGAAAGTCTTAGATCTTTGAGTTCAGCTCAAGATGAATGGGTGCAAAAACAACAGTGTTGCGTTTATTATTTTGATCAGTGTATTTTAGATCTTACTGTAAGTGACTTCTTTTAAGAGATGCGGAGAGGAAAGACAGGTCCACCACTGTTAGGTCATTTTTGTTCAGATTTGGACTCACTATGGAGAGTGCATTAAATCATTGTTTGCTAAACCATATTTACACTACAGTAACTGTACATCAGGTGTATCAGTTCATCTTGAATCTGGTGTAAAGAGATTACTTGGCCTGAGATGACTGGGCCCCAGTGGTGGAAGTATTCAGATCCTTTACTTAAGTAGAAGTACCAATACCACACTATAAAAATAGTACATTCCAAGTAAAAGTATTACTGCATTAAACATTTGTGAGATGCATAAGTAAAAGTACAGAATGTTTAACATTGTCTATAATAATGCATAATTTAAATCATATAATTTTATGTAAAATCTTACTCTATTATCTACTATTAACTATATGTTGAGGAGTAAAAAGTACAATATTTCCCTCTGAAATGTAGTAAAATAGAAGTATAAAGTAGCATAAAATTGATATACTACCTTAGTAGTATAGTACCTTAAAGTTGTACTTGAGTAAATGTACTTAGTTTCTTTCCACCACTGCTGGGCTCCATACACACACACACCGCATACATTCATATATTTACTCTGACAGTGTCTTGTGTGTTCTGTCATGAGATGTTATGAGGGGGAAAGAGAGGGAGATGTTATTAAAACAACAGCGAGAAGATGGAGAGAGTTAGTCATGCACTCTTTTTCTTTGCCTCCATTTTCTGGACTGCAGATGATTTTTTAAAAGTTAGTTAGTTTGTTTGGAAAAGAACAAAGTGTGCTGGTAAAGCTGTAAATACCAGCTGCTATTTATTACAGTGAGCCACAATGACACAATGCCACACATGCACACATACACACACATACACTGACACAAAAGCAAATCATGGAATTGTAACTCACTCATACACACAAACGTGCACACAGCTAACAGTGATCTCCACTGATCTGGGTATCACACATTAAGAAGTCGGGACATGTTGTTTGTTGTCTTTGCTGTTTGTTTTTTGGCAAATTAAAATGATGATGTTGATACTTCACCAGTTGGTTTCACTGAATGAATAAAAATCATCCAATGCAAGTCATTTATCTCTGCTGCTGCTGCAGATGTTGAATGTGAATCATAATGAACTATTAATGTCTTAAACAGAATCAAGAAAAAATGATCAAGATGGTGTTCGTTTTACCGGTCACGTAGTAAAAATAGCTTGACTGACAAATCAGCAAGCTAATCTGCAATCACCAGTGACGTGTTTGATGACATAGTGTATTCATTGCACAACTGTACTATCCTGGCAAAAATACATGTACATTATATATGCAGAAACTTTTTAATGAAGATGAATGATGTCAAATCTTAGTACAAAAATAACTTGTCAGATGTTTGTCTTCTTTTGACATTCCTCAGACAAAAGTTGTAATATTTATATAGTATTTTTACCTGTGTTTATGTTTATTATCATAAATACAAGAATAAATCATTATCTACAATAATTCATTCATAAATTGATACAAACAAACTGACATCAATGCTGAAATAAGTTCTAATAAAAAGACAAATCATTTATGCATTTTTCAGCATTCATTAATTACTTTCTTCAAATATATTTTAGCAGATCTGGTATTAACCTGGATCCTATCCCTCCTTCACCAATCACTGTTGAAGTGCCCTTGAGCAGCTCAGTTCCATTATTCGATTGGAGCTATTAACACGTTTGCTTTCACACATACAAAATGTTATTGATATATAATGCAAAAGTCTCACTTGTATGCATCCTCCCCCCTCTCTCCCTGTTCATCCTTCTTTCTCCCTGTCTCCCTCTGTCCCTCCAGGTGTGTTGTATGTTTGCTAGTGCGGAGTATTCCAGCTGTGGAGAGTACGAATTCTTCAACCAGACCAGTAACAGTTGCCAGGCCTGCCCTCAGTGCCAGCCAGGACAGGAGCCGCATATGGTGAGACACACACGCACAAATTTAGTTCATAGTCTTGTTTGTTGCAATAATTAAGTTGCTTTTTCATGTACCTGTTCAGTTTGAGTCATTTAAATGAATTGTAGGGGGGATGCACTGAAATGAAAATTCTTGGCTGAAGCCGAAACCAAATATAAGGAAAAATTTGCAGAATACCGAATACCAAACAAGTACATTCAAATTTCTTCCATTAATTTTCCCTTTTATTTGCCATTTCATAAATTAAAAAGTCAAATTGTGTTTTTACTGAGTGTTTCCCATAGCGTTTGGCGAGACTATGGGGGTGGGTCTGAGGCCCTGGAGGGTCCGGTAAAGTAAATTACATGTGTCCATTTACTTTTAATTGAGACATGTAATATGTTTTACACGTTTTGTGAATATAATCCAATTAATCTCATTTCCATAGACCCCTCATTTTGAAAACCGGACGTTGTCACATGTGTATCCTCGCACTAAATTCATCAAGTTTGATTCAGTTTGATAAATAATGTTGTTTGTGGTTCTCGTATGGCGCAACATGAATATTTCCTAGCCTCTCTTCAGGTCAGACTCTCATACTGCAACACTTGTCTTTGTAAAGAGAAAATGACAGGATAAAGTCGCTAACCTGGCTGTTAGCTCGCACTGGTCCGTTTTATTGGATTTACCATAAAGTGACAGAAACACTCAAAGTGGGCCAGACTGTTGCTTTTTCTAAGTAGTCAGCCTCAGATGGAGTGGATGTGCTAAGAGACAATTCAGCACTTTAAAATGCTTCCACACTGACGACATGTCAACGTAATTGTTCGGGAAAATTAACCGGCCTTTTGAGGTATTAGGCCGAACACCGAAAGTGCTTTTTTGATATTTCGGCCAATTACTTTCAGTGGCCGAACATTTGGTGCATCCCTAATGCATTGTGGGCAGGTATTGAGAGAAAGTTGCCAGTTCAACATCAAATTGTAACCAAATCCTAAACCTATAAGTATCTTGAAAGCTGTATATAATATGTGCTATTGTTGTTCAGACCACCCACAATGCAACCCCACACACACACACACACACACACACACACACACACACACACACACACACACACACACACACACACAAGAGCATAGCACACATAGTTGCACAGTGATGAGTGCCTAAATTCAAATGAACGATTTCTTATGGTTTATTGCTCTCATTGACTTCGATGTGAAGGCATGCATTACAGTGGATGACTTGCAGTAGTCAGTCAGTCAGTCTGCTGACAGCCAAAGAAAACAGCGCAAAGGTAAATGCTTCAGTGGGCACCCCGGGGTGCCACACCCTCTTAAGAGAGACAGCCAACTCAAGGGTGAATAGAATGAATTATAGTCACTGTAATTTTTTCGTGGGCTGCAAACTTTTTGTATTTTGAGTATTTACTTGACTTAACTACATTGGAGATTTTCTTAACTCTACATACAATACAGTATGTATTACAGTGGGTAAACTAGAACTTGATCAACCAGTGCAAACATGGAGAAAGAATACATCGTAGAATACATACTACAATTTTTCTAACTGTAGTTTATTGTTCTTCAAAATAAAATGTTCAGAGTTGAATAAATTGAATAGCATAAACATAAGTAGCCTAAACAAAAATGATAAATTATGAATTTAAGAATCTGATATTATGAAACCTCAATAAACAGCCCAAGAGTCTGCAGCCACGATTTCAGCTCTGTGAGGCTGTAATGTTTACTATGGTCACCTTCGCCGTCCAACATGTTTGCATGTTAACATTTGCTAAATTTCATGACAATCCATCCAATAGTTGTCGAGACATTTCACTCAAAACCTCAAATGTCAACCTCATGGTGCTGCTAGAAGAAACTGTGTGGGGATCTCCAAAGTTCTTCTTTCTTTGTCTGTTTTAGCTCCATAAACTAGGATGATTGTTCCAACTGTGTTTGTTTTTTCCTTCCTTTCCTGTCACCCTCCTGCCTTGAGTTCACAAAGCTACCATGTGCATCCCCAATGATGTGCTGAGTTTGAACCACTGTCCAAGACACAGACAGCAATGAGAGGCTTAGTCTGATAAGCATAGGGCTCCGTCATAAAGAGTTCATTTGGCCATTTGTGAGTGATAGTAACAGAAGAAATAAGTTCAGTCAGTAAGATGAGAGCCGCCTTTACACTTTCTCCTGCCTGTCTGATACTGATCCTCCGGGTGCTACAGTCTGTAAGTGATGTGTGATTTTGTTCCCCTGAGCTTTCCCTGCATGAGTGTGTGTGTGTGTGTGTGTGTGTTTCTTGACACCCTTTTAATCATAGGATAACCATAGGGTTCCTCCTCAAACAGAGACTGCAGAAAGTATGCGCGCACACACAGACACTACACGACACATCACACAATGATAAAGACATCCAAGGACACTTCTAAAGTGCATCTTGCATCCAGATTGTTTCTGCATGATTACATTTTCATGCTAGTTTACATGAACGTAAACAGAGAAGTTAGACTTATATTCCAGATTTTCTAACTTTTATCAAGTGATAAAAGTGAGGGTAAGATGAGGAAACATTAAAGAATTGGGTACTGAAGGTTGCGTGACATGCATGTTGCTCAACATTGAGAATATGGTCTAACATGCACCCCCGCTTTGATTCTGCTTGGAACCTAGCATGTCATCACCTCTCCTCCTGTATTTCTCTTCTTTTCCGACTTCCTCCTATGTATATGATACAATAAGATTCAAAGAGGTGACAAATTTGCTTTGAAAAGTTAGACGTTTTCAATCGGTATGGTACAGCTTTAAGTCAAGGAATAGGAGCGGACAGTACAAAAAGATCCAAAGTACGTTTTAACCCAAAGAGACAAGATCCTGCCGATAGTGCAGCACAGTTGTATTTCAAACAATCACACTTAGACTTATGGACGTCAAACAGAAGGGAAGGAACATTATATCTAAGAGTCCTTCTACTGTAGCCCACGGCTATGAGGCATAGGCTTGTTTTAATAGACGGATGAAAGTAAGAGGGAAATGAAAGATGAAAGAGAGGGAGCAAAAAAGAGAGAGAGAGAGAGAGAGCGAGAGAATGTTTTAATGTGTGTGTGTGTGTGGCCTGTTGTTCGGCCTCCTCACTGTGAGGAATTAACATGCAGAGATGGGAGGAGATTGATGCTAGAAGACAGAATGATGAGCTGGTCATCTTAAACACTACCAGGCATGGGAAGCTACACACACACACACACACACTCACAGGGACTTCTGTGACCAATCAGATTTCTCTTTTGTCATCTTAAAACAGTAATGCCAGATTTGCTAAGGACATGGCTACAAACAGATGTGTCTTTTGCAAGTGTGTGAGTCGTGCTTCTTTGAATGTGTGTGTCCACAGCACAGTTGTAAGTCATCATGTTTACTTAATTTGTGTGTGTGTGTGTTTTTATATACAGTCTATGGTGTGTGTGTGTTTTGCAGACCTGTGGCTACGGTGTGAAGGATGAAGACTTCACCTGTGTGCCGTGCCAACAGGGGAAATATTCCAAGGGGAAGTATGAGATCTGCAGACGGCATAAAGACTGTGACGCCCTCTACAAAGCCACTGTTCGTGTAGCGGGAACCTCTGACAGCGACGCAGAGTGTGGACCCTGTTTACCAGGGTAAACAACACAAACACACATATACTGTACACGATTCAAATGCAGCAGGCATTAACTACACAATACTGAATATCCTACAAGTGTTTGATCTTCCAAAGTGACCGCACAGAGAGTTCAGTGCCTTGCTTAAAGTGACCTAAAAAAACGTTAACATTCAGGGTCATTGTGTGTATCTCTGAGGTCTAACAAAAGTGTTCTTTGCTCATAAAACATTTGCAAAGCCAATGTTTTGAGCATATTAAACTGGCATTGTTTACCTCAAATTTTTTTTCAAGTTTTATTCGCTAATAGTCTTCTTCTTCTCTGCCTCCTACTGGTGCATAGTTGCATTTCTTGGTGTGTTGCTGCCACCTATAGATCACTGGAACATTAGGAATGCGTATCAAATTACCTGCGTGAATGTGTATCCTCGTGTGGGTACATGAGAACTAACATAACAGGGACCCACTCCGTAGCACTAAAAGTGGTCAAAAACTCCCCAGGGTACCTTTGAAGGCACCCTGAAATTCGCTTTAGCTACATGAAACTAAGCCGATTGTTGTTTTCTGCTAAGAGTTTGTACGTTCAAAAACAACCACATATGGTGTCTTGATTACACTCTTCTTCGAAAGTCATCAGCAAGATACGTTCTGACATGCACGACACACCATGAGCAAATTGTGGAAAACCTTGTGGCACCCGGAGTGATTCAGAATCTCTTGGAAACCTTTCCACAGGAATACTCATTAAAAGTGGTAGAGGATGCCTGTAAATTACAAATAATGGAGGACGCAACATTTTTAAATGGAAAGTGAAAAGTCTGCCTGATTGGGACGTTTTGTTCTTTCCAATCAAGGTAGATGCATGAGAGGTTTTTTATTTTACTTGTCCGAACCCAGTTTGAACCAGACTCAGTAAGCCCATGACGATGAATGGAACACCTAGTTTTAATTACACTGCCTCCATTTGTGTGCAAATAAACACTAAATATGAAATGTCTTCATTTGCACAAGGCAGCTGGGGACAATCACTTAAAGATATTAAGTCAATAAGGGCTGTTTAAACATTACCAGACCTTCCTCTGCTTCTCTTCCTCGCTCATCCTTCCCATCATCCATCACTGCCCCTCGAAACTGACTTGCTGTGTCAACACATAACTGTTTCTTTCTTACACAATTCAGCATGTTAAATGTCTGTTTTGGATCTCCTGCTGTGTGGTAGATATTTTGTACATAAATGTTTGCTAAAGGAATGCATGATTATTTTTTGGAATCATATTTCAACCGATATCTGTGATTGAAAGTGGGCAGTATATAGAAGGAATTGGCATAAATATAAGAGATTCATGATTTGGGGCTATTGGATAACCCTCCCACTCCAGCAGAGAGATTTTAATGATGAAATCTCCTCCTCCTCCTGTCATCAATATGGATGCTGTCCTGCTGCCTTCTACCTTTCTTGGCTCTCAGTCACTACTATTACAGGATGTTTTTTTTAAACTTATGATTAGTGTGATTGTTACATAAATGAGTGTGCACAGGAACACTGAGTCTGGTCATGTCTGTACCTGTATGGGTACTGTATATGCTGCATTGTATGTACTGTATGTGGTGTTGTACGCTGCACTTGGCAGAGTCCATACGTGTTTGATGCAGAACAGAACAGGCCTGAACAGTTGTGATGAAGTTCAGTGAAAGCCTGTATCTCAGCAGAGGAAAAGACCAGACATGTTTATCTGCTGGTTTCCATATAAGCAACTTCATTAGCACTTTAAAATAATTAATGTTTATAAGCCATCATTAAGCAGTTACTTCATGTGGACCTAATTAATATTTCATTATTATCTATGGTATATAAATGATGTCCTAATAATACGTAACAGTACATCACTAGTAGTGATGTAATAGTTACAACATTTTTAAAATAGAGAGTAGTGATATTTTAGATGAACATCATCTATATAATTTGTTATTGATTAACAGATAGTTATACAAGTATGAACTCTTTTTGTTCTCTTCTTGTTTTTTTTGTTACAATACTGTTGTGCTTTAACAAATTTATATAATGTGAGAGCTAATGTTTGTGTCATTTGCTGCCATTTTTTGCTTTAGAATATTGATTGAGATGAAGGAGTCCAATCTGAGTTAATGCTCTGTGGAACAATTACATAAAGTGTTGAACAAATAATTTATTTGTCAGAAGTGAGTCAGATGACACTTGCTCATCTTCATGAACTGTTGTTAATTGTAATTGTGCACAGTGATTAAAATACAGTGACTCGTGTCTAATGGCAGAAATCCAAAATCCTTATCCAGATATATGGAGGCTGCTACTTACCTATGCGCTGTATAAATTTTGTACATATTCATAGAAATTCTCGCGCCTAAATGATTTAATACAACCATAAATAATTCACAGATTCGACTCCTTGTTGCCTTCCCCTCTCCTATCCTCTAATGGATGCTTCTGTCTCAGGGCGATAATATGTACGAAGCCACGTTTAGGGCCTTCAGGGCGTCAATTATGTACATTTTCTTGACGGAGTCAAACTTTTCACCTCAGCTGGTTCCCCATACTTATACACCATGTGTCTAAAAGATAGGCGTGCCACATAACGTATACGCCATGTTTGCCAGTGTGCTTACTTGCAAGTGTTTAAAACATTGTTGTTATTATTTATTTAAAAATCTTTTGCAGTTGAGTTACCAGTAAGCCTAACCAGGTCTATAGTAGACTAATTATATAGTCTAGCAAGTTGCTGGTTTATACCGATGTATTTTATGTCTTCCAGGTATTACATGCTGGAAAACAGACCCAACAACATCTATGGAATGGTTTGCCACTCTTGCCAGAATGCACCACGCAATACCAAAGAATGTAAGACCAACCTCTTCACAGTTTCACTTTTCCTTCCCGTCCTTCCGCCTGCTTTCTTGCAACCTTTTGTCCCAACATCTTCTTTTATTCTCTTTTAAACTATGAACCCCTTTTCTTTTTCAACATTTATCAGACCTGGTTTCCGCTAGCAAACATTAAAGGAAATAAAAGGGGACAAGTTGTGCAAAAAGCGGATGTACTGTATGTTGAAAGCCTGGACTTAGTTTAATGGAACAATCGGAGGTCAGAGGTTGTGCTGAGTTCTCCCAGACCCTCTGGTCACTGTTCTCCCCGTCAGAGGACCTCGCTGTTGGACACAAAGGAGTTGTACACCCCCCTTCCCTCCCTGCATCTCTGCTTTTCTGGTTCCAGAGGGGTGTTTGGCAGCTTACCCTGCATACCTGACACTGTGTGTACATGCATGTGTGTGTGTGTGAGTGTGCATGCATGGCGCCAACTGTTGCTGAGACCACATCCCTGGACAATAATATTTACTAGTGGTTGTCTCCATTTTTCCGTTTCCCATTCACTATCAGCCTCAGCAGTTCATAAACTTAGTATTGCCAAGTGACAGCTCAACAACACAAAGATTAGACCTCAATCTATTAGAATATAATTAGATACTGTGGATAACTGTTTACAATGATATGATATGATATGAAATAATCTTTCATAGCAATGAGATTAATAGACCTTTCAAGACTTCTAATGTAATTTCAAATTTAAAGTAATTTTCTATAAGGTGGTGATTTTAAAACAAGTCAGATAAAGGAAAATAATACTTTCAATACAAGATGAGCATTTACTGCAGAGCGAGAGCCGGATATTTTCACTGTCCTGAGGTGGCCTCTGTGGGTTTGTCCAGATATGACAAATAGATTCCATTGATCCAAAAATGAGAGAACGTCAATTGGATCTGCGCAGTGTTTGTGACCCTCACTGATACATACTAGTATTGGAATTATATTTATGGGCCTATTATTGCTCAAAACCGCCTTTGAGTGTAATTGAAGAGCCCGGAAATCAATGTTATTGTTATTGTGTCATATTTAATGAGTGTTTTGAAAAATGAAAAAAGCAGCCCAGGCCTGCAGAGGAGAGGGTGTGAAGTAGAAACAGGAATATGTGTGTGCATGTGTATGTGTGTGTAAGAATAAACACTTGCTTTTCAACAGCACCCTAATTGTTTCTCCCAGGCATGGAAATGAGTGATTGGATGAAGCTCTGAAGATAAATTATAGAATGATGTAACGCAACAAAAAAATTGCCAGTGTGGCAAGTAATTTCATCTTGTATTCATATATATAAAGCTCATCTGGGAATTGCAATTTACGGTGCTGACATAATTTTACATTCAAGTATCTTTTTTAGTAGTTGGACTGAGAAATACGCTTATCCCTACAGAGAGGTAGATGAGAAGATTGATACCACTCTCAATATACATCTACAACTAAATAAGATTAGCCTAGCTTAAAGACTCAAAACACAAAGCCTGGCTCTGTCTGAAGGTACATTGTTGTTTTTACACTTTGGTATTTGTGTGGATCAAACAAACAGGAGACAGTATAATGCGTTAACTAGTTAGCTTTAGAGGTGCTGGTAGGTGGATTTTTGTTACCGCTGGACAGAGCCAGGCTACCTGTTGTCCCCATTGTTATGCTAAGCTGAGATAACTTAACCTGCTGCTACCTGTATCTTCACATTTAGCGTACAGACATGAAAGTATTTTCCAAAAAGTATTCACTTTAAGATTTTAATCATTTATTGAGATACTTTTTAGCTAACATTATTAGTTCTTGCTTACTACCCAGTATGTTTAATAAAAAATGATGATGAGGATTGTTTCTCACAGGAATAACCTGACAATGTATAGCCTTTGATGAACCAGATACAGGTGTTACATCTTCTATCAATTAATGATAGGGAGCTGCAAAACCTTTCCAAATTCTAACTTAAATTTCATCGGACCAAGCTGTTAATGCAGTATGGTTATCTGAAGTAATTGTGATTAATCTGGATAAAAGATACAATCACACAGAGCATTCTGTATTTCTCCCTATCTGTTAAGTCAGGCTGTAGTACATTTTAATTAAACCCTCTTTAGATGAGAACTTAAACATAATGCCCCCCCCCCCCCCAAGAGTAAATAGAAAAGAAGCTGAAAGCTGGGAGTTCTACTTGCTCAGGGTGAAGGCAGGCTGACACTCGCCGTGTAATCTGTAAATTACCCTGGCTCCTGCCTAGCTCTGTGCCTGTGATAATTAAAACTTCAGTGCGTATGAGAAAGAAAGATGATTAGCGTGTTAGTGCTTGCGCCGATGCTGCTCTATGACAGGCAGACGTTATGCGTCTGTAGGCATGGCTCAGCTTCTACTGTCGCCTTTGGATTTTTATTGACTTTTGCTGCCATTTTCCAAGTGGGCACCAATACATCTAAACACTTCAAGATTTTTCACTTTCATCAGAGATCATTCACATCACTACCTGTAAGAACACTTCTTATTTTCCCTCTATCTACCTACGGAGACACCAGACACACGTTTATGGATTTCACACAGAAGTGAATCAGAAGTTAACCCTCGCTTCATCCCTGCTTACAGAGGTATCACAAATCTTACCTCAAACAAAAATGCTTTGATTTTTTTTAAATCTCCCATGCTTTGTAATTCTGCGCCTCCCAGTTGGTTTGGACCTGAGTACCCACATTGCCCTGCAGAATGATAATTTAGCAGTGTGTGTTCAGCCCGCAAGACATGATTAAGAGATGAAACCACAAGACGCTAAACAGAATTCCAGTTCAGGCTCATATCCTAATCCAGAGAGTGTAAACACATACCCCAAGTGTGTGTGTGTGTGTGTGTGTGTGTGTGTGCGCGCGCGTGTGTGCATGTGTGTATGTGTGATGACATGAGGCTCTGAGACCACGGGAAGCGGCAGGGCACATGCCAAAGAGGTCTACAGTATATCAACGTGGTGAAATAAATGACTGATTAAAAGGGGTGATTTATGAGCTGCCAGGAGTTTACAGCTCCATTAGGAAAGAGGAAAACCAGTTGATGAATAATCCAGAAAGAGAGACAGAAGGGGCGACTGGGGTCGGAAAGTGAAGCGATGGAAAGCGAACAGAAAGAATGAAATAGTTTTGGACAGACGGCTGCATCCCTGAATCCACACTCTCCAATACAACATTTGGTTTACTGTTGCGGCAGGAGGTCTGAGAGCGATAAAGTTTAGGACAGACTGCTGTTTTTTGAAATGTTACTTGCAAAATGAAGCCATGCAAAACTATTGTGGGGAGGGACTGGCAATAAAATACAAGGCCAAAGCAAAACATGCCATAAAAAGTGACTGATGGCATGTCGCCTCTGTAGAGACCTAGCCGGATAGTATTTCTTGTGCTTTCTCCTTCGACCGATCTGTAAAATCTCTGGAAGGAAGGGTTCATCAGTCATCCAACTATAAAATATAGTTTGACATTACTGGCAATAGGTTTATTTACCTTCTTGCAGAGATTTAAAGATTGATAGCACTGTCACATGTGTAGGGTAAATACAGTATGCAGGAGCTGGTTAGCTTAGCTTAACACAAAGACTGGAAACGGTGGACACAGCTATCCTGGCTCTGTCCTAACGTAACAAGATGCGCCTTTTCAAATTGGAAACTTGAATTTGATTCATAGGTATGAATGTTTTACCCCTGTGAGAGCAACTACGGTTGGGCATATTTAAGCAAACACTAGGATGAAAATATACTTACTAACACATCCAGAGTTAATGAACTGGCATTGACAGTGTGTGTGTCTGTGTGTGTGTGTGTTTTACAGGTGGGCCAACAGAAAAACCTCAAATTAACCCTGGCAGCACTACTGTGTTCCCTAATCCACATAAAGGTACGCACAAATACACACTATCTGCTGTCCTTTCTCACATACACACATCATTAACGTTACTTTACATCGCTGCCTCCATGTTTCAGATTCCACCGGACAAGGTCACCTTGCAACTGCTCTCATTATCGCCATGTCAACCATTTTCATCATGGCCATCGCCATCGTCCTCATCATCATGTTTTACATCCTGAAGGCCAAACCGAGTGGCCATGGTGAGAGACAAACACACACACACACACACACGCACACATTCACACTCTCATGTTAAAGGTTGGCATTTGTTTTTATGATGTTCCTTGTGTGTGTCTGTCTGCAGCTTGTTGTTCAGGGCAAGTTGTGAAGGCAGTAGAAGCTCAGACCAACAAACAGGAAGACAAGAAAGATGTCCCTGGTGAGACATGACTCACACACAAACTGAATAACTAATAAGCTCACAGCATTTAAGCTTCTCAGAGGCTTCCTGTTTGGTATCTCTCACACCACAGTCTGTATTCTGGCCTCATAATTGGTCTCTTGCAGTAAAAACAATGAGCTCGTCAGATGCATACCGGTATCCTGGTTATAAGATCTGGTTTTGATTATTTTCTCAGTGTGATGTTTATATGAAACATAAGTAATCTTGATATTCATATCCTTGTATACGTAGTTCTAACATTATCCACATTTTTGGCCGTATGTATTGTTTTTTTTTCATTGTTAAACCAAGGGGGGACAAAAAAATTCAACAATACTTGAGAATAAAAGTAGCTGTATAGACAATTTATTAAGATCATGAGTACATAGTGTAAGATCTAAAGTACAAGAGAATATTTTGAAATAGTTTCTTATAATTATATAGGAAAATGCAAAACAAAGTAAAGCATGAACAATTTAGTGACATTAGAGATGGTTTACATAGAGACCATCTGGTTTTTTCTTCTCTAACATTCTCAGTGTTTTCATATCTGTTAAAATAAGCAGGCCATCAGTCAGGAACTGATCATTTCCATGTTTCCATAAACTTCACTAGCACGTTGCACAGTTCCTAAAAGAAAGCCTACAAAATATATACTCAATAACTGAGGCAGTTTATACTACTTAAAAGTACACTCTGAATAGTATACAAGTATAATATAGTACAATAGCTCAACCCTTAGCTTTAATAACTATAAAATGAGTCCACAATATTCACAGTGACACCGCACACAATTTGCTTAACAGTCAGTTGAACAGATACCAACCAGCAGTGATTAGAGTAACACTGTATATAATTTGACTCAGTCCTGCAGCATAATCCTCTCTAACCTTGATTCTTATTTGTTAACCGCAAACACTGTATGAGCCCATATCTGCAAATGTATTATCCAACACTTCCCTGTAGTGCTTTGGGCTCAGCTGATAATGATTTTTTTTTTTCAAATTAAAGCTGTGGCTCGCAGATGTGTTTGGAACTATTTCACACTGAAAAAAGCCTAGTGGGGGAAGCGTTTCCTTCCGAATTGTACTCTTATCTCTGGAGCAGCATGTACAGTAGGTATGAATTATGGGACACTTGAACTCTCAGATCACGTCAAGATCTGCCCAACAACAATCAATGCAATGCTGATTGAGTCTATATTAGATATGAAATTAAACAAACCGTATCATCCCATCAAATCTGAGTGAATCACATCTGAATGTCAATACAGCCTTGGCTCCATGCGTCGGTCTATTATGCATGTGCATATTTATGATTTATAGCATAATGTCTGCGAATGCAAGTGTGTGCTTGTGTACTGTGTGTGTGTGCGTGTGTGTGTGTGTGTTTAAGCTGACAGACCTGCAGTTTGATGAGTACATCATGGTGGAATGTGAAGCTTCCAAAGCTAAAGCCATACGTTGCTTTAGGCGCCATTTCTCCTGACAATGATGCTCTGTTCAATTTCACTCCCAGACTGACTGACTAACCACTTACATGTGGTGTCGATGAGAACACACACGTACACACACTTACTGCATCTGTGGCCACAGATGCATTATGCGGTACAATGAGGTCGCTTACTTAATAATGTAATAGCAAAAAGAAACATGATAAAGTAGTTAGAGTGCGATTAAAAAATAAATGTCTGCATTGTGACTTAATGTTAGGTTACTGTGTGTGAGTGTGTGTGTGTGAATGGATTTTGGAAAACTGCTATGTCTGTGTGTGTGTGTGGGAGAGAAGCCCATTGCTCGGAGCTCTACCGGAGCTAGCTGTCACTCACGTAGACACAGAGTTAATAAGTCTGTGAGATGAAAGACACTACGCTTAAATTTACACTCTCTCTCTCTCTCTCTCTCTCTCTCTCTCTCTCTCACTCACTCACTCACTCACTCACACACACACACACACACACACACACACACACACACACACACAGACACAGACACAGCATTTGTTCCACTTAGGTATTCACTCATTATGCTGTCTATCCCTATCAGTGTCCATGATGTAAGTGTAATTCAGCATAATAGTCACTGTAATCACTTAATACACCGCTCCAACTGCAGCTCCTCTGTTCGAGGGATACATACTTTTAGCCTCAGGAATCTGTTCTCTTTTATGCACTCCAACTCATGCCAACATCTATTCAAAAAGTGTAGGTTTAATCCAGTGTTGCTTAGCGATAAAAGATAGGAGACCACAAAAAACCCTTCGTTCAACACCTGTATTTCAATAACTGCATAAAACTTTCCAAGAAATGAAATTTTCACAATGCATTTTAGTGGAAGACATGTTGTTTGTTTTTTGAATGATGTTTGGTTAATTACATGCGACATATCAATTAAAGTGAGAATGTGTAACTTTTTAAGTAATACGGTAAAAGCTTGACCAGTGTCATGACTCAAGAAAATCTCGGAAAATGAATGGAAATGTTCCTGTAATTGCCACTTGTCGCCGCTGTTCAGCAAAAGAGTGAGTACTTTATATCCAACACTAACCCAGCAAACCTTTTGGAAAGGTTTGAGTATATTGTGGCATTCTTTTCATATATGAAATAGTGGCAGGTGGTGGATAAACATCCTTTGAGTATTTTAGTATATTTGCAGCGTTACTATGACTGCCTTATCTCTTTTTTATTCTGTATTTGTGAGAAAATAAATCACCTATATACCTCCATATCCTTTCTCTCCCTCTCTCAGACAATGTGGTGATCTACTCAGAGAAAGACGAGTTTGACAAACTAAAAGCGCCACCTCAGAAGACGGTGAAAAGGTGAGCGACATGTCTGATTCACAAACAGCTTCATCACACTGTTACTAATTTGGTCGAACAAAGTAAGATCAGACGGTTCTCAGTGATTAATGGTTAAATCCAGACAGCTTAATGCACTGTGTAGCAGGAGAATAGAACATAGGACTTGGTTGAAACTGACATGCTATGCACAAAGCAATGCTAAGTGTACAAACCATGGACACAAAGCAAGAGTCCCAGTGGAGGCTAAGAACCTTTATTTATGACAATGGGCATGTTGTAAAGGTGATGGGTGAGGTGTAGGATAATAACTAAGCCTCGCAATGGACAAGAAAAATATTTCCTTCTTTTGATTGACAAGCAGGAGTTGTTTTTTTCTACTGAGGTTTGCAAGGGATTATGAAAGGGATTTAAACACAAAGTAATAAAGGTGTATTCTAACTTTTTTCTCATCACATAACTCCAGGTTGCTCCACCATGTTTTGCGCTTAAAACCAAAATGAGTACCTTCCATTCACGAGTATTTTAACACCACAGAAATTCTGTATGTCTATAAATGATATGTGTGAATGGGTGTTATGCTTCATAAGTGTGCATGTACTAAGGAATATTTTATATTCGCTCTTATATACACCACTGTGTCCTTATCTTGTCCTTATCTTAAGTGTGCATTACGAATGTGTGTGTGTTTAATTTCTATGGGGTCACAGAGACTTTGCACAACAGAAAGAAGCTTTTATAATTAAAAATTTTCAGCATCTGCCCATAATTAAGCCACCACAACAAGTCACTGCAGTAGTAGTATAATTGCTGCTGGCCCTTTTTTTATTTTTTTTTGCTGTATCTGCGAATACGTATGCACATGTCAGTTGAGGGATTTATTTTGTTTGTTATAAATGAAGCAAAGAGCCTTTATGTGGCTTTGGACCAGGCAGAGGTGGGTTTGGGGAGGTTGGGTGGGGGGGTGTAGCATAGATGAGCCCTGAAGCCTAGCAAAGTGAGAAGGCAAGAGGGGGTAGTTGTCAAAGCGGAGAGGGTTATTTATTCCGGGACTAAAACCACCACCAGGTGAAAGCACAAAAGAACGACAGTTTTCTCACCTTCGTCTTTCTGCATTCATCTCATCACCTAGATGTGCAGACAATGCTGCTTTATTGGCGCTAGTGGCTAATGTGTGGGGAGAAGTGTGGGAATGCATGATAGCATACAGTATTGCACACACACCTACAGTGAGCCATTGTGCTCAAAGTACTGGTAGTGAACATGCTTAGATGGATATGCTGTAGGGGGTGTGAATTAGAGAATAGATGAGATACACACACACACACACACACACACACACACCTCAGCATCAATAGCAGTAAACAGTGTGGTACAGCAGCATGCCAGAGGATGTGCTAACTCACTGCTTTAGCTGCCAGAGTGGGTGTTAGATGTCCGGGAAACAATGCCATTTTGTGTGTTTGCTCAGGAAAACAGCTCGGGACTGCGAAACAATGGCATTCTGTGAGCATCTCTGTCAACAAGGTGGTTTTTGGGAGAAAATCCAGAGCAGGGATAGGGAGGAAGAGGACAGGTAATAAAGTGATAGTACATGGTATCATGTTGTAAAACGCAGGGCTATTTCAGTCAAACACAGGAACAGCTTAGAAACATCAGTAGCTATGGCAACAACAACAACAGCATTCTTCTCCAGCTCATTTTCATTTCTCAACGTTCCTGTTAAGTTTGCAAAGACACAAATCATTGTGTGGGCAGTAGCTGTCACTCATTTAATTATGTAGTATAACAGCAAAACTGCACACACATGGTTACAGAATATCTGAGTGCAAAGCAGTAGATTGTGAGGGAAGTGACTTTCAAAAGAACATCAGGGGTATACACCCAGCTATGCAGCGTAATTGAATTGTATTGATTTATACTGAGAGATGTTTCTAATATGTAGTCTATCCACTGATGGGGCATACAGAACAAAACAAAACAGACCTTTATAACCTTGATCTAGGTGTACCGTACATAACAGTGTATTTCTCACTTTTCAAAAGAAAAGTCTGATATGTTGTTTTTAAATGGAAAATAATACCACAATCTGTCACTAAGACCACAGGTAGGAAGAATCTAGCTACAGCCTAGGAGCTTGGCTAAATTACTGGCAGGAGACTGTGCACAAAGTGTTTTACGGGACACCAATGAGTATGTTCACATGTAAATGAGTCCACATATGTGCATGCTTGTGTGTGCAGTGAAAATGACGCGTCATCAGAAAACGAGCAGCTGTTGAGCCGTAGCATTGACAGTGATGAGGAGGCGACGTCTGAAAAGCAAGGGTCAGCCGAGACCAACAACCCCAACCTGTGCCTTGTCAACCTGGGGAACAAACCCGACCTCTCCCTGCTCTCTCTGGGCCTCTTGGACCGCGACAGAGCCTGCAATGGGAGCCCCAACATTGCAGCCTGCCAGGCCAATAACATCCCAAGTCCCAACCACATCGGCAATGTCAACCATATCAACAGTGTGAATGCAATCAACAACAACAATAAAACCCCTGGGGTAGGTGGATGTATCTGTAAAAGACATTACTGGAGAAAAGACTATGCTTACAGATCCTCAGTTCAGTTTACTCTAGAAATCACATATTGTTGTTATTTATCTTTTACCACACAGATGCTACAGAGCCGAAGGAAAAAGATCCTGGATCTGTACACCAGAGCCTGCAATGTGACAGAGGGTAAGCCTTTCTTTCACAGACGAAAACATCCATCTAGGCAAGCTTTGGAATCAGACTTAATTTATGTCAGTACTGTAGGGACATTTGACTTCTTTCTGGTGGAGATGAACTTATAAACTGTGCTGAAGTGAAAAATGAAGAGAAACTGCTTTGGAAAGAAGACATTACCTCTCCACAGGCATCTTCTTTCACAAGTGAACAAAATTCAGACTTAATCAGTAACATTATTTAAGAGGTAAAGGTGTGCGCATGTATGTTTGTTTAAAATATTCCCCCTAATGAGGCATATTTTCAAATAAAATCAAAACATTAGTGCAGGGAAACTGGATCATCGCAGCAGCAAAGTAGATTGAGACAGAACAAAGACCAAAAGATAAATGAGAATACATATGGATGGGTATAAAATAATGAAACTACTTCAAAACTTTGAATAAAGTATGAATCAAGATTAACAGTATCATTATATGAAGGTGAGCAAAGGACCAACTAGAATGATAGTCTACTGCCACACAAGTGCTCTGTAGTTGGGTGCTTTGATCTAAATGCTAGCTTAGCATTTTGGTGGACATTGCCTATATCTATATCCAAGCCACAATCATGGCTAAAAATTAAATTTTATTTAAATCTTCAAATAACTGACCATGTTTGTGTGCTCAGTTCTAACACTTCTATCCCTCGCCAGGCCTGAGTCCAACAGAGCTTCCCTTCGACTGTCTGGAGAAGGCCAGCCGCATGCTGAGCTCCTCCTACAGCAGTGAGGCGGCTGTGGTGAAGACATGGAGGCATCTGGCCGAGAGCTTTGGGCTGAAGCGCGACGAGATCGGTGGCATGAGCGACGGCCTGCAGCTCTTTGAGAGAGTGAGCACGGCGGGCTATAGCATCCCCGACCTCCTGACCCGCCTGGTACAGATCGAGAGGCTGGACGCTGTTGAGTCACTCTGCTCGGATGTGCTGGGCAGTAGTGAGATGTCGGCAGCAGCCGGACGGCAGGGCATCAGCAGTTTTCACAGCCAGCTGGTCTGTCCACCGCAGTGCTCATCTCCATCCCAGCGCTGTGCTAGTGTCTAAATATGCAGTGGCGCAGAGACTGAGGACAGCACATATACAGTATACACCTTACCCCATCACATGAAGAATGTCAGTGGACCTCCCTGTGCACAATCCTTTTTTCTGATTATGGGTTGCCAATTTTAAGAATCTAGTAATACCTTATATGGCCTTAATGTTCTCTTTCTGTAGTGCTACAGAGTTTGAGAAAGACAAAAATCAAAGATTACTCTCTAGTATGCTAATTCAGATATTTTCTCCTCTGACAAAGACTAAACCAAACTAGTTTTCTTTTTATTAGATTTTTGTCTTTCTAAAATTTTAGCAAACAATACGTAGGTTAACTGTGCGCTGGACGTAACACTTTTCTCAAAACTAACAAACAACGTTTTGTATGCTGTTTACAAAATCCCACAAATGGTGTGTTGATGGAAATGGTCCCTGAGCAGCTCCTCTGCAGAAGTGTTTCTTGGCCATCTGTCCTTCTAGTTCAAAGTATAGAACTCTCTCTTCTACTGCCCCCCTCACTCCTGTGCACGAGCGCTGACGCCACCTGATTGGTGGAACAATGTTGTGGGGAAAGTCTGCACCACTTTTTATCTTTTTCAGTTACAGAGCCATGGCTTTGTAGGAAAACCAGGTTTTTTCAGAGCACACATAAAACGGAGGGCTAGCAAACTGTGACGAAATATTCGCTGAATTAATCAAAAAGTGTATTGGACTACAATCACTTTTTATCCCTTTAAGTGCCTTTCTTGTAGGAATACCAGTACAAGTGCATTGTAAGTGGAAGGAATTAGGATCCCTTCTTAGCTGTCCTTTCAGTGAACCTTCTTATCAGGACCAAAATCATTTGGTTAAACCCGCAGCTGACAGAATTAGATGTTTGTTTCCATATAAAGAAAGTAACCTGGTTTGACTGCAGCATCGGTTAACATTCATAACTGCGCCTATGGCTGTGTTGTCATCATAAAGGAAAGACAGTAGATATGAACTTCCCTTATTCAAAATAAAATCATTATGCCCAGCTGGAAATGCTAAAACATCCATCAAATAGACCTTCATCTGGTAAAATTGTGAACTTGCATTTGGGGATACCCTGGTGTCTTGTCATGTCATGTCACCAGCATACACACAACTGTAGTCAACATTACAGAACAGTATTTTAATTTTTAAAGAATTACCTACATACATTATGTTGGTATTTTTAACTGAATGCTTAAAACTGCCTATGTAAATCAATTGACTTAAACCTATTTAAGTCAATTTAGGGTTGATTCTGCAATGTTGTTTATTTAGTACTACTCGGCTCTATTAATTGATTTCCATATGTGTGTTAAGAGTGGAAACAATTGTACTTCACCAATAGATAAAGTGTGTCTTCTGCTTAAACACACATGTAAATCCACTTCCCCAACATATTTTCTTACTGCAACTACTTCCTCAGCAGTGACCCAGTATGTGACCCTCCCCATAATTCTTCCTCTCCCCGCTTATTCCCCTTTTACCCCAATGCTGCGGTCTAGTGCTGCCGCCAGCCCTAATTATTTGGCGTGTGGCTCCCTGGGCCCCTAATAGGCTGAAGTGTTGTGGTTTACAGAGCGGGTGCAAAGTGCCTGTGATTTCCAGCACCCAATTAAGCATTTAGGGCCACTTAACCACTGAAAGCCCAGTGGAAAAGCTGTAAAACCCTGCATTAAAAAGAGAGATGCCACGGCAGAGGCATGACTAACTGCCCCTGGGGTAGCTGCACTGTGAACGATGCAAGAATGCAGCCGGTCGTGGTGGAAGCAGTGCTACGGTCATCCTATAACGTCTGACCTTACTCAGCTTTTGTGGTCGGCTCAGTCATGCTCAGACAGGATTTAAGCTCCCCACTCCCCTATGGGACCAATATGGCAAATGAGAACAATATGCAGGTTGTGAGGGTTGTCCTTTTCTGAAAAGCATCTGAAGCTGGTTAAGTGTTGTACGTACAGAGACCGAGGGTGGCTCTGATAAGCATCAAGTTAAACTTTGGGAAGAGCATTACGTTAATGCTCATAAAAGATACGATACTGCCAGTCAACGTCCTGCTTTCTCTAGCAGTTAAGCTTCAAAACTCAGCAGTAAGCTCCAAAGGCCAACTTTGACAAGCAATGCCAAGACTTGCTTTGATCTAATTTCTTGGGAATGGGACTGATCTTTATCTCATGTCTGATGTTGTCAGTATAATGTCCCATGACTGTTCTGCACAAAATCAAACACATCATCGCTGCCAAGTTCTTTCTCTACTGCTTTTTTTTTTCGTTCATTTTTTACAGTGCAAACTCTGGGGCTGGACTCCAGCACTTTAAATTAATTAATGTGCATGTTTATCAAGCATGTGTTCATATTTTTTGTTCTTTAATGTCTCCTGTCAAGGCAAATAACAAGCTCCCATTTGAATATACTGCCTTCTTAGAGCAGGGTTGTCTTCATCAAATCAAATTAAATTGAAAACAGGTTTCACTAGTTATTTTTTATGATGTTTTATGCTGTTGAACTATTGTAAATAATCTAATTTGGTGGATTGAACTGAAATGGACTCAAGCCCTGTTTTCAGACAGGCAAAAAACTTGTGTGACATATATTACGCTGATAGGATGATATACAGAAGCCAAAACGGATTACTTACCTCAGTATTACACTCAAAGAACACAGTAGAACATGTAGAAACACACACACTCATCACAGAACCAAAGTATAACTGTATATATAACTTATTATTGTACATAATGTATACATTAATAAAGATGTATGGAAAAAATGGCTTGGTATTTGTATTATTATGTGATAACTGACTGATTTAGGTATAAAATCGTTATTACTGTCATCTTGGCTGATATCTGATTAAATGAATTCAGTTTGAGACAAGTGAATCTGGATTGGACCATCAGGACCCACAGAGTACAAACAAACTGCGTGGGGGACATACAGCAAAAGTATGAATGAAAGACCTTTCACATTACTTACATTGTGAGAACACCAGCCAGGCTAGCAGCTCTGTGAGGCTTAGCCGTGGTTGACAAAATACATAAATCATGTACTTGAGTAAAAGTACAGACACTCTAGCGAAATATTACTCCACTAAAAGTAGAAGTCTTCAATTTAAATTTCTACTTGAGTCAATGTACAAAAGTACTTGCTTTTAAATACATTATGTATCAAAAGTAAAAGTACTATTAGTATGGTTATATAAGGCAGGCGCTGCTATGATAAACTGAATTTAAAAATACAGTAGGCAAACTTTCCTATTTATTAATGGCATTCGTTATAAACAGGTTGCCCTTTCAATAATATTTCATGTTACTGAGTTATGTGTGAGTGTGTGTGTATGTATGTGTGTGTCAGTGGTGGACGAAGTATTCAGGCAAAATTACTAATACCACATTGTAAAAACACTGTTACAAGAAGACATACAAGTCCTGCTTTGAAAATATTACTAATATTTTATTGTTTTATAATTGTTTAGGGGGAGCTCATTTTTAAATATTTTGTTTGACAAAATTTCTCCATTAATCGATTTTCGAAATTCTGAAAATAGTGAAAAATGCCTTCACAATTACCCAGAGCCCAAAAGTGACAGTACACTACAAAGCTCAAAATTATTGCAAATACATTAAAATAATTAAAATGTCTCAGTCTTCATATGTTTAATGTGTAAAAACCTTATTTTGTAAAGTAACTAGTAACTAAAGCTTTCAGATAAATGTAGTGAAGTAAAAAGTACAGTATCTCCCTCTGAGATGTAGTGGAGTAGAAGTAGAAAGTGGCATGAAAAGAAAATACTCAAGTAAAGTACAAGTACCTCAACTTTGTACTTAATTACATTTACATTTATTAATTTAGCTGATGTTTTTATCCAATGCGACTTACAATTACTATATATGTCAGAGGTCACACGCCTCTGGAGCAACTAGGGGTTAAGTGTCTTGCTCAGGGACACATTGGTGTCTCACAGTGGATTTGAACCCTGGTCTCTCACACCAAAGGCGTGAGTAAATGTACTTATTTACTGTCCACAACTGGTACTCAGGCACAGTGGTCCTTTTAACATCTGTATGTTAACATGCTCAAAATGACAACGCTGCAATACAATACAATACCATGCTAACATGCTGATGTTTAGCAAATGCTAACTGTGTTCACCATCTTAGTTTACATAGATATTTGCTCATCAAGACAAGACACAAAGTACAACTCGAAGATGAAAGAATGTCATTAGTTTGGCAGGTATTTTGTAATAAAGTATTGGACAAATTTCAGTTTTGACCTGTTGATGGTGCTGGATCAAAAGTCAGAGAATCACTACAGTTTTTACAATTCATCCTGAGGACAACATGAATATCGGTGCCAAACTTCACACTTCACCCAAAGCCGCAGAAGACAACCTCATGGTGGCGCTAGAGGAAAAGTGCAGTCCATCCAAAGGCTGTTGAAATATTAAAGTCTGGACCAAAAGTAAAGTGGTCGACCGACTGTCAGATTGTCACTGCCATCCACAGAGCCAGACTGGCAGCATGACTAAAATATTATCTTGATTATGCCAATAAATTAAAACATACAGTCTAGACTCTTAATATCAGGGTAAAAAACATGAAACATACAGTGTGAACAATGGGACAAAGTAGCTGGATTTCAAATCAATAAATATTTTTATACAGAAACTCAGAAAAAACCTTTTAAACATATTTACACAATATACATAATAATACATAATTTAACAATTAAAAAGGTGCACATGTTTAGAACTTGTAACTTGTTATTTGGTCTTCTCATACAACAACCAGTATACCACAGACCAAATAACTGATTATTACAGCAGCTGTCCAGGTGGCTGGTCTCAGATGATCTTGGAGGTGAAGATGCTGGATGTGGAGGTCCTGGACTGATGTGGTTATATGTGGTCTTCGGTTGTGAGGTCAGTTGGATGCACTGCCAAATCCTCTGAAATTCCTTTGGAGACGGCTTATGCTAGAGAAATTCAATTCACGGGCAACAGCTCTTTTGTGTACACAGAGTTAGTCTTAGATTTTTGAGTTCAGCTCAACTGACTGGGGGCAAAAATAAAAGTTATGCGTTTATAATTTTGTTCAGTGTATATAAAAATGTAATAAGCCATATACATCATGTCAGAGATCACCGTAAATGACCCCATATAGTTGTCCATCCCAGATTTTGTTGTTTGTCAGCCATTACTTGACACTGACAGGGGCTGTTAATGGCTTAGAGAAACCAAATGGAAAATCGCTAATCACAAAATTGTCCAGTTCTTTAAAAACTCCAGCAGTTAATTATAGATCATCAAATGTGACATTAACTAGACAGTTCATCAAATGAGAGATGATTTCATTGAAAAACGACTGTAGGACAAGATAAGTAGACCATCATTCAGGCATCAGTTCTCACTCTTTTATCTCTCCCACTGGTTTGCTACTGCAAGCTGAGAAGGAGTTCGGGAAGCCAAACCACTTCTCAGCTTTATGTATTTCTACATAAATGTATAATGTTTTTTTATTTATTTACTGTTACCAAACATAGAAGAATAACACAAAACTACATTTTTTAGATACTTGAGGATTAGTAAATGGTGCAACTTGACCTGCACAAACACAAAACACTTTTCTCAACCCGGAGGAATTTTGTTCCTCTGCTGCAGCCACTCTTTTTGACTTTGACTTTTTCCTCCACCAACAAGGCATCAGCCACTACAGTGGCATCTGTCACCTCAACACACCGCTCTGTCATCAGTCTTTCACTATGTGCTGGTGTGTATCTGTGCCAAGATTCCCAAGGCTTTAGCTAAATGATTAGGTGTGTATGTACTGGCTGAGGATCTTAGGTCTGGATCATTGAAGGTCTGCCTGGCAGTGGAAATGCCAGCAATGCTGCTGTGGGGCATCAGAGCAGCATTGAGGTCTTTCTCTCATCATGTTTCAAATGCTCAAATTTTCCCAAAAAGAATCTATCCCAAATGACGAGCCTTTAGTCTGATAACACACACACATTGAGTAGGTACCCACACATGCAGAAGTGTGTGCGTCTTTGTGTCTTCGGGGTGTTTTTTTGTTTTTTTTGCATCTAAAGCGCTTGGCTTGACTTTAAATGAGGAGGATGGAGCCATAGAGAGCCACTTCAGGGCAAGGAGTGCCATCCATTGAGACTAATTAAAGCTCTGCCAGGCAGGAACAATTTCACCCTCCACACAACAACTACATGCACACACTCATCCCTGTCAATCACCTGCAAGCACATCAAACAGCAGCAGTACAAATACTGTCCAGACCTCAGTCAGGTGTATTTTCTATAACCTGTCTGGATCAGAAAGTTTGTGTCTGTCTGGAGAGCAGGATGAACTGTGTTTGCACTCTCAGTAATTAACCCTTTCATGCATTAATTATTAAATCACAAAGTTTTTTTTTTTATGTTTTACTTTCAAACAGGTGAAAAAATGGCATTAAATGGCATAAAGTGATTCAATGGAACTCAATATAGGTTAGAAAAAGGGGAATAAATACACATAACGTTATCCAAGTGTCAATTATATCAAATAAGGCAGAATATACCGTTAGGAGCATAATGTCCAATGGAGTGGACAGATGGATTTTCAGTCTCAGAACAAAATGTGCAAGAAATTAATCATTCAAATCTGGATAATGGATGTCTAACATCTTTTTTTAGTTGAATTCTTTTTTTTTACCAGCCTGATTTTCTCAGAATAAAAGCATTTTACAGTTACTGCTGAGGTACTTGGTGCATCTCCCTTTATTTTGAAATTATGATGCAGTAACCACATGGTGGTTTGGACATGGTACTATAACTTAAATGGCTTCCAAATATCTGTCCACTGTGGACATCATGTATGAAAGGATTGCCTTCAACAGCCATAGGGGCAGTTTCGTAAAAAAAAAAAAAAAACACTGATACATTTTCAAATAGTTATTGATACAATTTCTGTTAGCCAAGGACCTTGATTTTGATGAAGATGAGCAGTCCTCCTTGAAAAATCCTTTGTCAAAGAGGAGTTAGAACAGAGTATTCTCCTAAATATGGAAGAGCAGCACGCAGGCAGTGAAGTGTGCGCAAACCAACACACAGCTGCGTGGTCGGGTTGTCACAGGGTCACATTTTGCTGAAAATAAAAGTGTTTCGAACTACTGCGGCACACTGACTGACAGCGAAGAATCATATTATGCGATCGGTGCCTCTCTCAAGTCTGTGCATTAAGTACAAAGCTGGAGACTGGACGCGACCGGCATAAAGCTTAGCTTATAGTAAAGACTGGAAACAGCTAGCCCGTGCTGGGGCAATGGGCAAACATTCGTAAAGAAATAGTTACAATTAGTACCTCCACATAAAACAATAAATTTCTGTTTGTGTATAAATTAAGCAAACGAGATACACTGTATCAGTAAGCTTACATGTTTTGGTGGGCTTTTTCTGAACTTTGTACAGAGGGCATTTTGGAAAACACAAAACCAATTTTGGTACTGTAGAAAGAAATGAAATCCTAAATCAGGACTGACACTTCATCAATAAAATTGTTATCAGATGCAAGCCTTAATGATAGAAAAACAGAATAAAAGAAGTTAAAACAAACAGGATTTGGAAATGAGGGCGATCCCGGCCGGTCTACCATAAATAACCCCTGACAGCTGCTTCCCCTCACAACTCCTTCACACACTAGCTCATTTACAGTCAGGTATACTTCCAGACCCTCCAAGTACTTATTGCATTACTCTGGCAGCATATTTAAGCATATTGCGGCTGGTGGAAATAATACACATTTGGAGGTCTGCCATGATGAATCGCTGATTGACTTGAGTTTATGGTTGTGCTGAAGTGGAACCGCTAATGTTTCCCCCTGTCAGCCTCCTCCCACCTACCAAATAACAACTTAATGAGGTTTACCAGCCAGACCAGAGTGGGGCGACTCTTTAGGGTAATTATCTGAATTTTTGGTCCACTAGAGAAACCCAAACATAAATCAAGATCAGTGTATAAAGTCGTGTGGGTGATGCTGTGCAGGGCAGATTGGCAGAGTTTAGCGTGTTAGGGAACACAGACCAGACACTGCTATGCCGACTGCAGCGCAGACCAGACTTAACTGAAGTCATGGAAGTAAATAAACGAGCCGTCGACAGTTCTTTCAGTAGGCATAGACAATAAAGCCCTGTTAAAGAGATACTTCATCCAAAATCTATTTGAGTACACTCACAGCCTTTAGGCTTGAAAAGTAGAACCTAGAAGTTTGTAGATTCCTTCAGCTTCCATAGAAACTGTAATCTCTGTCTCAACTGTCCATCCATACGTTCAGTGTGTTTCAGTTGTATTTTTGCCTAAATGCACTACTACTGTTTTGCCCTCATGAAGCCTAAAAACTCAAGGCAGTCTGCATTAGCTGTATTTTGGTAAAAATGTGACTCACTATCTCGCTCCCGCTCTTACTATTATTGTGGTGATTGTTAATAAAAAGGAGAGCATTAATTACACAAAAAATGGATGCAAGTTGTGAATTGCAGAATCCTATTATAAGAATGTAATTCAAAGAGTTGCAGGGCTGGACTTTCAGTTTCGACCCCCGAGAATAGAAATTAATTATATGAATACAATAAAAATATTGAAAACTCAAAGTTCACCAACTAGCATTTTCCCGGAGCTTTTGGCTGTATCCTAGGCTGAACAAATTCCATTCACTGACGTAGGCCACGGGGACATGGTCAAAAGTTCAGGAAAAATAAATCAAGTAATCGAACTTTGAGTTTAAAATATTTTCACTTTTTCGGCTGTGACGTGTTAATGTTAATATCTCTGTAGCTGACACATTCAAATTTACTACAGACTTCTTCAAAAAAGGGGAAACTACACACCTTTTACTGCCATGTGCCAAGCCAGCTCAGTGTTAAAAGGAAGAGAGTCACTTTAAGGTCGTCTTTAATCAGCGCCCGGCTGGGATCAGCATATAGAGGAACAGATGGATTTATAAGGGAAAGCGTGGACAACATTAACATTAGGACAATTTTCTCTTCCAACATTTGAGTGCCCCCAAGTTCATTTAAACTGCATTGCTGTGTGTAAACGAACCCTTAAACATTCTGTATGTCTGTATTCATTACAAGTAAATGCCCTACATTGAACGTTTAATGAGTAAAAGTTAAAAAAAACAAACAAAAAAAACATATAAGTAAAAGTATGTAAAAATAATCATGAAAGTGTACTTAAAGTATTAAAAGTAGAAGTAGTGAATAAGAAAAAAGGACCCCTGTAACTATTAATACCATTACAGTGGGGAGAACAAGGTTTTCCTACTTACAAAGCATGTAGTCTGTAATTTTTTATCATAGGTACACTTCAACTGTGAGACGGAATCTAAAACAAAAATCCAGAAAATCATATTGTATGATTTATTGATGATTAATTTGCATTTTATTGCATGACATAAGTATTTGATACATCAGAAAAGCAGAACTTTATATTTGAGATCATACGTTTCCTGTAGTTCTTACGGAGCTACTCCTTAGTTCCCCTTGCTGTGTGTTTCGGGTTGTTGTCATGCTGGAAGACCCAGCCACGACCCATCTAAAATGCTCTTACTGACGGAAGGTTGTTGGCCAAGATTTCGCGATACATGGCCCCATCCATCCTCCCCTCAATATGGTGCAGTCGTCCTGTCCCCTTTGCAGAAAAGCATCCCCAAAGAATGATGTTTCCACCTCCATGCTTCACGGTTAGGATGGTATTCTTAGGGTTGTACTCATCCTTCTTCTTCTTCCTCCAAACACGGAGAGTGGAGTTTAGACCATAAAGCTCTATTTTTGTTTCATCAGAACACATGACCTTCTCCCATTCCTCCTCTGGATCATCCAGATGTTCATTGGCAAACTTCAGAAGGGCCTGGACATGCGCTGGCTTGAGCAGGGGGACCTTGCGTGTGCTGCAGGATTTTAATCCATGACGGCATAGTGGTAATGGTTTTCTTTGAGACTGTGGTCCCAGCTTTCTTGAGGTCATTGACCAGGTCCTGTCGTGTAGTTCTGGGCTGATCCCTCACCTTCCTCATGATCACTGATGCCCCACGAGGTGAGATCTTGCATGGAGCCCCAGACCAAGGGAGATTGACCGTCATCTTGAACTTCATCCATTTTCTACTAATTGCGCCAACAGTTGTTGCCTTCTCACCAAGCTGCTTGCCTATTGTCCTGTAGCCCATCCCAGCCTTGTGCAGGTCTACAATTTTATCCCTGATGTCCTTACACAGCTCTCTGGTCTTGGCCATTGTAGAGAGGTTGGAGTCTGTTTGACTGAGTGTGGACAGGTGTCTTTTATAAAGGTAACGAGTGGAGAACAGGAGGGCTTCTTAAAGAAGAACTAACAAATATGTGAGAGCTGGAATTCTTACTTGTTGGTAAGTGATCAAATACTTGCATGCATGCATCATACAATGTGATTTTCTGGATATTGTTAGGTTTAATTTACAAAAAAGTATCATTTTAAAAGCTCTTCATATTTTATGTACAGACAAATCTCAATCTTTAACATAACCAAAGCAGTGATATAAATGTAGAGTAAAAGTAAAACATACATTTCACTCTGAATTGTAGGAGAGTAGAAGTACTACGTAGCATAAAAAACTCAAGTAAAACACAAGTACTTCAACATTCTACTTAAGTACATTACTTGTGCCAGTGAACGGTGCAGCCATGATTGGCTGTCATGTGTTACTGCTCTGCTCAATAGCTCCAAATTACAGCTTTGCCAAAGCAAAAAATTAGTTGACAGAGAAAGACAGCGATGGGTGGCTTCCCAGTGAGCTCCAGTCCTCAATCAGTTTGTACTCTATCCGGAAGGCAGACGTGCTCCGAGGCAGAAGAGATGGATGCTGATAATAAAATTATCTTGACCTAGTGAATTTATTACGTGTACCCTGCATGGCTTGGTGAAGAACGGGAGTCACAGGATGAGTGTTTACGTGGCTGTGTGCTCTGCTGTTGATCATAAAGCCTGATGTTTCCATTTGATATCATCCAGATGTAACAAAATTCACAAATAACCACAATGTGGAATGTAAATGTATGTAAATCCTCTCCTCCGCAATCTTCTCTGCTTGTGGCTGTTGACAGTTGGTGGAGTAGTAAAAATGTAAGCAAGAAAATATTTTAAGCTAGGCTCGAACATAATCAGAGTGATTTACAGTTTCACCCCCAGTGGAGATTAAAATTATACCACTTATTTACAACAGCACAATCATCTTTAAAAGGGCACTAAAATTAATTCTTTTTCCAGTCATTTTATATATAAACTGAACTTATAATAATATGTTCTTGCATGCTCTCTGGTGCCACATAATAACACAAGTGGGTAGAAACTAAAGTCATTTGGGTTAATAACATACCACATCATTAAATGTGCTAAGCTATAAGATAAAGCTCACTCTCGAACATGGGAAGCAAAAAAACAAAAAAACAAACAAACAAAAAAAAAAAAGAAGGCTTAAGAAAATACTTGTTCAGTTCATTTGTTTACATTGCGTCCCTATTCAGGGTTCTAATCATTTTCCAGGACTTTTCCAGGACATTTTCAGTGATGTTCTAGCTGGTATGACAACAGGGATCACGTCATACAGCAATATGTTCCTCTCTGTGGAAGTCTGATTTTAAAGACATACCGTCTATGGCTATAACTTATCTATGAAACTATCTATTACATGCATAGAAATAATGACAAAGTGATCTTGCCTTGTTTTAATGCTGTGTTTTAATATTGTATTTGTTTTTCTTTTGGAAAGTCCTTTGTGTTCGATGCTTGGCTTTTCTTATGAATTAACTGAACAAATAATAGCCTACAATTTTCCCTATCAACAAATCTGATGAACCTTAGCTTTCTAAAATCACTGTGGTCTTGAGCCCAAATGCACGTCCGTCGGACCACTGTTACTTTTTTCCTAATTTTCCAGGTGTTTATTAGTTGACTGTTTTCCAGGTTTTCCAAGACGCGTGGGAACCCTGTTGTTTTAGGGATGGATGGGGCTGTAAATATCATAATATATAATGATATTTTCCATCATAGTTTGACTGTACAATAGTAATTTTTCATATAACTCCAATACCACCACATGTCTCCTCTTAAACCAGTTCATCTGCTATAACTGTAATGCAGACAGTTTCCAAAATTGACAGATCAATTGATATCATAATAATAAGCATAATAAAAATCTTTATTAACACTGCAGCTGCATAGACAACCAGTGCAAGTATGGTGTAACTGATATTCTACAATAAATGTGTGATCCAATATCCAACAAATATTTCATCAAACTCACTATCTTTGAACCCTGACCAGAACACTGTTTCACACAATACCTAACATGAAATTAATTTAGGAATTTGGATACTGTAGGGGACTTTTAAAACATTCTCTTTCAAATTCAGACCAGCCGAGCACTTCCGAGTGGTTTTCAACTAGCACGTTTTAAATATCAGCTGTAATTGTTCCAGTCCGCCCAATCCCCTCTATTAACAGACACCACCAGTGTGTCCCATCCTGAGACCATTACAACGATCAACCCACCCATGCTCTGGAACAAACAAATATGTTTATACGAAACATATGGATATCAGCATTTCATATGCAATTCGATCTTAATGTCCTTCAGTTCTTTTTGTTTATAGTCATTAAAAAGCTTCACAGTCTCAGCGTCTCTTCCTCCGAGCACATCAGACACCCATTAAGGCCACTGGCAAGCATGACACTCATTTAAGGGGGGGGGAGGGGGCATCAAGACATCAGATTAACATTGTGGAACATAAAAACAGACAGATCACAAAGTGCAAAACATACACAATATTAAAAGAAATACTTCTGACAGACAAAAGAACTTCAAAAACACATCACACTATATAAATAAAGACTGTGCGTCTGCATATGTTATTTGAGGCAAAGCAGTGTGGAGCCTTGAAGTACTGTACAGTTAGAAATATGGTAATTATAGTCTGAGCACACATGGAAGACCAAACAACGTGCTCAAGTACTGAAGTACAAGGCAAGTCATCTTCTTCCCAACTGGGAAGTCTGAATTTTTTAAGAGACCTTGAATCCAGCATAAGGCATAGAAACACATGTGAATGTGTGTGTGTGTGTGTGTGTGTGTGAGAGTGTGTTATTTGAGGTTGTGGAGGATGGCTCTCAGGTTAAGGCAGAGGAAGGTGTTTGTGTGGTTGGTTTTGTGATTAAGTTCTTGTATTTGGAGGTGGAGGGAGGTCAGTTCAAACAGTCGACGGTTCTTCCTGGACAAAGATACACAACACAACAACCCGTCAATCGTGCAATGAAACTTATTCCCATGAGTCAGTCACACTCTAGTACTAGACCAGTGTCTTACAGATGTATAACTAGCTTCTTCTTTGGCTGGGTTTACTCTACTTGGCTGATAAGGCCAAGAATGAAGATTAAAAGTTAGACATGACAAACAGAATTCACAACTTGTTTTCAGTCTTGGTTGTGAAGAACCAAACAATGATTAGCCTGATGTATTTAAAGACACTTGATGACCAGAGGCCTGTAGTACGAAGCAGGATTTGACATTAGCGAAGGAGTTTAAAGATTAACCCTGGGTTTACAATTAGGGAACCGAAGCCGAGGGTGAAATACAGTCTTAAGTCCACTACATACCTGTCAACCCTTTCCGTTTTTTCCGGTATTCTCCCGTATTTTACCGTTCTATCTCGGAGTCCTCCAGTTTAAATATAAATATATAATATAAATCAAGAATCAGAAACAGAATCAGCCTTATTTGCCAGGTTTGGCTACATATTTGAATTTAACTCTGGATTGTACATTGCTCACGATGTGCTTACAACACAAAAAGCAATACAGAGCGTAACCCAGAGGCGGCTGTCTGCGGCCATCTTGGCGAGGGGTCCAGGATTGATGATGCATTGCTGTACAGGGTATTTCACTGGCATATAGCCCTAAAAATAGATATGTGCAAACTGGATGAATTATTCACCATATGTAAGTAAAGACCACAACCTACAGTGGTTCTTCTGTATTAATGGTTATGGTTTATTGACGATTTAGTACTGTAGCATTAATAAATTAGAGAGCAATGTAGAGTGCTTCTTACACAAAGATTTAATAATTAAAAACAACCCACGCAAATGAAACTGCTGTAACTCGAATTAATATAGTGGCTTAGTTGTGAACTTCAGACACACACACACACACACAACTTCCTTTATGAGAGATAGTTTGCTGTCCGTTTCTGAATTGTGATACTCTGCTGAAGGGAGACTTGTCCATGTTTGAGATTGGTCACATGCAGCCCCTTGCCCTCATGGTTGAATTAGGAAAACCTGGGTTGAATTACCGAGTTGATAACCAGCAATGTTTCCTCTAGGATTTTTTTCAGCAGCAGGGGGCAGGCCAAAAATTCTCCCATTAAAAAGTCTCTGAAGTATACTACACAAAGTACAAGTTACTTTATGTTTTAATATTGTTTAGTGTAGGCCATCGGGCCATCTTTTTTTAGGGATTGTTTCATCTGCTGTGTATCAGGTTAGTTATTTCGAGGGAATGCACTTTGCTTGCTGATTATCTCATATTTGGATATTTCTGTTGAATACAATTATTTTACTATTTAAAATCTACTAATAAGACCACTTTAAAATATCATGCTTGCTGCTGCCTACTATTGTTGCCTGTGCCTTTTTATTATGGACGTTTAGCCAACTAAGCCACTTGATCTGTTATGAAGGGGCTGCACATGATCTGCCTTCTCCAATAGCACAGATACCAAATACAATCTGATTAGTCCTAAAGTATCTATTAACATAATCTTTACAACACAAAGAATTATTGAGGCAATAACACGGGAGCAACCCATTGTTGAACAAAGCAGTTAAGCCTACGTTAGAGGGAGACCGGTGCATCACACCGTAAAGCCCAACAGGACTGTTGTATAGCCTACTCTCTCCTTCTGCATCTCAAAACTTATTGTTTCCTGAATAAAAAACAGCTGGTATTCTGAGTGACATTCAATTAAATTCAATTAAATTAAATGCCGGTCGGATATTGCTATAAATAGCACCAAAGCCAATTAGAGAAAATAAATAACAACTATCAAAAGAAAGCCAAGCTCTGTGCAATGAGAGGATTCTGCTATCAGAATTAATCCAGTGAACATCCGACTTTATTCAGTGTGTAGCTTACATTTTGTTCTGCAGAGACTAAATAGGCTTTAATAAGCAGTTAATGGAAAGTGAAAGTATTTCTGCAGCTTGTGAACGTGTCATACAGGCTGCTTTCCAACACTGCCAGTGACATAATTTGCAATAACTAGCTTTGAGTAACTTAAGTAGCACAACCAAACCTATAACTCAAAAGTTTTTTGTAAACGTTTGCATTTGTCCAGCTCATTAACACAAGCGAACCGGCTAAAGCTCTTACTTAACTGCGGCCACACAGCTTGGATGATTTGTCGGCCCAATCTTTCAGCGGGTCACCGGTGACCCCGATCCCCAGTGGTGTTGGCGAAAGATTCAAGAGCGTTCCGCCGACCTGTCTTCACTTTCGTGTCAAACTGAGCCTTTGCAGAGTTGTGTAATTACGACTTCATGACATTTCGTAAAAATATGAAGCGGCTCAATGTACATAGCGGAAACCCTGACCAGCGATGTCTTTAGCGCGATCGCGGTTGTTAAAGGAGACCTATTATGCTTTCCCACATTTTATGACTTATCTACAATGTTACGACATTGGATGTTCATGCTAAACATGTTCTACGACATACAGAGCTAGACAGAGCAGGTGTTCCATATATGGTCATTTACTCTGCACAGCAACGCTCAGTCTGCCTGTACAGCTCAGCAACAACAGCCTGGTAACATGCGAGGGGGGGCTTAAAGAGAAAGGAGAATCTACAGCTTATTTCAGAGGCTGAAATTAAGCCCTACATGAGGAGTGAGTATAAAAAAAAATTTTTTGGAACTTTTGAATCATGCAAAGCTGCCATACAGGAATCACAGAACTACAATATAGGACTGGAAAAGAAGTTAAGAGTCTCCTTTAAGGTTAGTGAAGCCAGATTAAGAGAAGATATACTGGGTATGTTGAACTTGCTTCGTAGTATAGGCCCCAATTGACTAGGTTAATAAACACACACTTGACCTGCTGTGTTCAGGGAATATACACTACTAAATGTTTCCATTTGTGGTGGTGCTAGAGGAAAATTCAAGGATCATCAAAGTTTTCAGGATTCATTGTCTGGGAACCACAAATGTCTGTACAAAATCCTTGCTCAGTGTGTGTTATTATCAGTATGGAGATCCCTGCATCTACCTGATGCTGGAGAGCTTCTGGAGAAGGATGGATAGCTTCTCCAGCGATGGGAGCTCCAAGCGAGGGTTTTTAAGAAGCTGGGCGGCTGTTCGGAAAAACTCCTCACAGCTACATGCCTCCAGGAAGGGATTTAAGTAGCCTACAAGCACACAAACACAAGCAGAGCAAAGAAAGAAGGATATTATCAAAACAATTTCTCTAATGAACAACACATTTTACTAAATGTAAAACTTCTGAAGAGATGGAATTTATTATCAGCTTCATTTTGCCATTCTGTCCAGATTTGCATAGAAATGAAAACTACATGGAGGCACAAACAAAGCATGAAAACACTTTAACCATCAAACTGAGTTAGACAGGGACACAGATGCTGGTCAGAGTGACTCTGTAATGATTGTATTTGGAAGAGCTTCCATATTGTTAAATGTTAATGCTGACCTTCCCGTCATCACACCCTAACCTCACACACAAGGAGAAACAGAGAAAGGGCAACAGCATCAATCCAAACACATGGAAGCTGCACGTTTTTTAAATAAATAAAAAGAAAATGTGGACCTTACGAAGTCCTAAAATTAGTCAGTTCCCTTCAAACAGACATTTGTTTCTGCTAAAGTCACATTCCTGCTGCTTCAAAAACTAACTCTCCACCCTCTTAGACCATGCACAAGGGTGAGGGAATACAATCTGAGCCACAGAGGGACTTTTTTGGCTGGTACAGAGGTTCGGCTGGCATCAAATCACAGCAGAAGATTGGACGGGGAAGAATAGGATCAGATTCAGATAAGAAAGTATAAGACAGGTATCTGATAATCTGATAATATGAGAGGGATAAAGCAGGGGAGTATAGTTTGGTCAGTCTTTTCCAAGCAATAACATCACTTCACCTTGAGGCTTAAAAGGACCCATATTATTTAAAATCCACCTTTTCATGTTGGTTCAAACTAAACACGAGTTCCTGGTGTGTCCAAAGAACCCCACATTATTATAATAAAAAAACATCCTCTCTTCGTCTCCTGCTCTTTCAGTAAATGTGCGTGCAAGCATGCCGTTTGAATTCGTCTCCCTTCTTGATGTCATGGAGGGATCTGTCTACTGTTGGACCTCCTCCAGTCCTTCAGCGCAGTAGAAGGCCCTCTCCACTGAACACGTACCAGATTCACCGTTCTCAGCCCCATCGTCCAACACAACACCAAGCGATCATTCCACTGGGCTACAGCTGAAAGGCACTCAGTATATCTCGCAGAAAGTGCTTTTACAGGTATGAAGTTTAAATATTTTCTGCTTTTCCCTCAGACCTCAACTCTGTAATTTATGAAGGTACTTGTTGCTAACGCTACATTAACCGCTAGTTCCTGCTAACTGTAGATGTTGTTATTAGCTGACTCGGCAACAGACTGGGAGCTGTCCTAACGTTAGAGGTATAAACACCAACACACCAAGCTTCCAGTCGGGGCAGAATCAGCTAACAGGACAGCCAGCTACATGACTAACTGAGCTAACTAGCTAGGTGCAGCTACAGTTAGCAGTAGTTGTTGTCAAAAATAAGTAAAGCCGTCTGTCTATCAGCAAACTCTGTAAAATCACAGAAAGTTTAGGCAGCGCAGCAGTCTTAAAGTATTAGAGTTGTATTATTGTACTGTAATCGGTGAGGCCTAGTCTCGCATAGCCAGACCTATCTCCACACATCCTTTAAGTGCTGTACCAGCTAGTTTCCCCTCAGGAGGCTTCCGGGTTGGCCAATCAGAAGACAGTGGGCTTTTAAGGAGGGAGGCCTTAAAGAGACAGGAGCTCAAACGGAGCGTTCAGACAGAGGGAGTATAGAGGTGGTAAAGCAATGGACAGCATGAGAAAAATAATGTTGTTTTAAACATTAAAGGATGTAAACATTTTCTTGTAGACAGCCAAAATAACAGTATGAACTTGAAAATAAGCATAATATGGGACCTTTAAAACTAATATGCACTTACATGACCGTGACTATTTTCCATTCATTTCATTTTTTTCCTCTCAAACGCTAGCTTTTTTTGAACTAAACCTTGCTGACTGTTATATATTTAGTGCAGGTCTGCAACTAACATTTTACGTAGATTAATCTGTAACTTATTTAGATTTTTTTTGATCTTACTCATGTACTTTTGATTTACTGATTAATCTTTTAGACTATAAAATGTCAAAAAACAATGTCACAAGTCCACAGTGATGTTTTTAATTTCCGTAGCTTGTTTTGTCCGACGAACAGTCCAAAACTTGAAGATATTTCATTTACAAACATTTCTCTACAGTGGCGAGCAAGGAAAGAATGCAAACACGCACACACCAAATAGGTATATTTGTAACCATTGAGTAAAATATACTGAATAAAGCAGTTTAGCAGTTAACACTGTAACACTGAGTGTGTTGAGGTGTCCAACTGCAATTTTGTGATCCCTGAATGTTCTATTCACAAAATGTGTTGTGTAACTAAGTATGCGACTGAACTTTATACAAGCAGTCATACTGTCACAGTTTAGCCACAAATGTCCTGTGTGTGTGTGTGTACGACTAGACCTTGTTTTGTTTTGTTTTGTTTTATTGGCAACCTCCGGGTGCTAACCCCCACTCCACCCACTCCCCACCGCTTTCCCGTCTCCCCTCATTACTGCTTGTAAAACACAATAATTAGCAAGTCTTGCAAGACTTACAGTCCCCTTGAAACACACAACTATATGTACACGCACACACAGCTCTGGCCCCAGTCGCCTTCGACATATGGCGCTGCTGTGTATTAGCATACAGCAGTCTTAAATGATACGGCTCATGACCTTGCCGAACTCGCCCTTCCATGGAAACACATTGCAGCTGTTCCCTCCTCCTCATACACGTCTGTCAAGTCTTTTGTCTTTCAATAAAAGACCCAGGAGGAGGTGGCGGTCCAAAGTTTTATTTTACCCAACTTCCAAATCTGTTGCCTGACCAGTGCCTATGATTAATGCGAGCTCAGACAAACCGTTACTTTTCACAGGAGGTTTTATATATGGGGTTGATATGGAGTGATACTGCAGGAGGAGCACATATAAATGAAAGGAAATAGTGACTGTGGGGTGGGCTAGAAGTGATCACAGCAGCTTTTTAAGGTTACACAAACCACAGACCATTTCCAGGCTAAGTGAATTGTACAAATTTAAATATGAGTCTCGAGGTCACTAGTGAGGTGCTGGGGCAGGCAGGAAATGTATCTCTGCATACTTATTAATTAGGCAATAATTTTCTTCACTTGTTATGCCGTCCACTGACACTCAAAGGTTAACTAGCTGCTTAAGTAGTGTTCCCATAGTGGAGTTTCTAACGCCTCTGCTGCTTCCACTGCCTCTAATGTTTTACGACCTACCTTGACTTCATTTGGACTGCCACTCAGCAGTAATGTTTTTCAATATTCCTTCTATTTTCCCAAAAATGTATGCATTAGTCAATTTACTAATTAATTAATAATAATAATTTCTGTGGTCTATACTATTAATAGCAATTGCAGCAACAGGATGAAAATCCTTAAACATTATTAAAATAATGTGTGAGTTAAAATACAGTGTGAGTGTGGTGGTGACAGGAATATATAATTAAGTTTGCTGTGACAGCCATAGATGATCATGTTTGTGTCTGAACCCTCTTTGGCAATGGGGTAAAAACGTGCATCTTTTTCTTCTTGTTTCTATAACAAAACTTTGCTTACTGCAACTTCCTCAAAGATAAATGTGTATTAACCAGCATGCCTTGCAACTACAAAAGAGGGATAAATATTTAATACTAAGATATAGACACTGGTGATTGCACCATCCTTAACATCAAGCTACATTTCTCTCTCTTTTTAAACATAAAACCAGAAAACCAATCCTTCTTCCAGAAACCACTGCTCTACTAATTTGCACATTAACTATTTAAGTATTAGAAAAAAATTGTCGAATTGTGATGAAATCAAACGGGCAGACTGTCTCAGTATTGTCTTAGATGCACTCAATACATTCCTTTTCTACCTTAAACTGAAGTTAAATATTAAATGGATGTCCAATATATGGATTCTCCAGGTAAAGGTTGGCTTGGTGTGGAATTTTTGGAAGAAATTATTACATTTATATGCCAAAAAACCTGCTACTCGTCACCCTTGATGCAGTCTTGTAATTACACAAGGGTGATGGGTCGTGTGACATGTGCTTACTCACAGGACTGTTCAGTTAGCTGTATCAAGATGTCTACAGGTGTTTGCAGACCTCCACGGCCAGCCCGAAGCACTGACAGCAGCACACACACTCCTCCATAGTGGATGAAAAGGCCTCGGCTCTCCTCAGACATCAGCTCGGTGTGAAGACTGTCTAGAACCTGGGCCAGCACATCAGCTGCAGGCAGGACAAACACAACACAAAACACACATATATACAGATATACGTGATTTGCTTTTATATTGAGTGTTCGAGTCATTTCAGTCTTACATTGGCATTTTAATCTTTCAGCTGAAACTGCTGTCCAGCAGTCAGCAGTCATAAAGTGCTAGGAAAAGAATACAAGCAAAATTACGTAATTTTATATTACAAACTGTTCTAGAGACAAATCTCATCTCAGGATGCAACAATTATTTTTGTGATTTGCTGATTAATCTGATGATTATTCTCAGGAGTAATCAATTAATTGCTGGGTTTAAAAAACACCAGAAAACAGTGAAAAATTCATGAAATGTTCAATTTATTAGCATGTCTGACAGTTGGTCAAGTTGGTCATTCTCACTGTTTAGTACCTGGAACCACCAAATGTTTTTGATTGCATTTTTGAGTGAGAAATGGCAAATGATTAGTCAATTATCAAAACATTTTCTTTTAATCGACTAATCGAATAATCAAGAAACTGCAGCTCTTATTAGTGTTTTAAATTGTTCAGTAGCAGGAACCTTGTCTTCCACCTACCCTTCCCATCTTATCCCCACTATCCAAGCTGTGTTTCTTTTCTTTCTCACACTCCACCAATGTATTTTGGCCTTAATGGATGCCATTCTTCTGTTTTTCTTAAGTCACTTTTCAAGTCCAAAACCCATCTAGCCTGACAAATTCAAACATATGATGTGTGATCATCTGAAATGGTTCTGAGAGTTTCTGAGAAGTTCCAAGAAAATGCTTTTCAAATGTCAAAAAGTGCTGGATTTATACAACCTGACATGGGATAAAAGCTTTCTTTTTTATTTTGGACTGAGTTTGGTTAGCTACATCTCAGAATGGTACCCATTATGTGTAAAATCCCAGCAAGTATGAGGGGGAAGAAACATCTCTCCATTATGCTCAATCTGGTTTCACGTCAATCCAGAGAGGGGAAGAAAGCAAACCTGGTAAGCAGATTGACAGAAAATAGTCTAAAGAGACATACTGAGGGAGCCCTCGAATATTATGAGCAGATGGCAGGTCAGTTCAGAGGAGAGTTTCATAAATATGTCAGGATATGCAGGCTGTACCCACTGAGTGCACTAAGATTTATAAGGGCCTATTTAAACGATCTATAGTGTTTAAAGTGCACTTATGGTGTGTCCAGCTCAAGTTTTGCTAGTGTGATGGCCCCAGGTCTGGGCCATCTCTTGTTCTTGGTATCTTGCTGTGTTTTGTCCCTTTAATCCAGGTAATTGGTGGGAGGAGTTGATACCTGGTGTGAGATGCAACACACCTGAGCAGGCGGGGCTCAGGTGGCTATAAAGGAGCCTGTTTGATGATTTGACTCCGTCTTCTCCTGGCCTGCCGACTGATTCTGTTTTGTCTGGTTCTTTGTGTTCTACACCCATACATTTCACTCACACATACACTGCATACATACTGATCTGACAATTGTAGATTTTGTTCAATTTACTTATTAAAATATCTATTATTTTCAGGCTGTGTGGTTTCCCGCTTTTGTCACTTACTGTTGAGCCAGGTTGTGACACTAGTTAAATGGTGCATAATCTGGGCACAAAGTAAAGAGTAATATTTAGTCTGTGTGTTTTGTTTTGGTCGTAACATGAATTAATCCAGAGTCATCCACTTTCCCTAGCAAATAGTCATGGACAAAATTATGGGCACCCCTGCATGTCTGTCACATAATGCACTACCAGAAAATTGTTGCAATTAAAAATGTTTTGGTTTATTTTTCTTTTGTTTGCATCAGAACAACACAAAAACCACAAAAAAGCAGAGAAAAAAAAGATAAATCTAAAATCAAAAATGGACTGGACAAAATTATTGGCACCTTTTCAAAATCTTTAGAAATAATTGTATTTCAAGCATGTGATGCGTCTTTAATTTGTATTTAAACTCACCTGTAGCAATTCACAGGTGCTGGCAATTTAGAAATCACACTTTCTAACACTTAAAATGGAGAAAGGTTGACTCAACCTTTGTGTTGTATTGAACTGAGCGTGGGCAAAAGACAGAAGAGAAAAGAGTTGTCTGAGGATTTGAGAACCAACATTTCGGAAAAGCACAAACAATCTCAAGGCTACAAGTCCATCTATAGAGATCTTGATGTACCTGTGTCCATTGTGCGCATCAATGTAAATACATTTACAGGCACTGTAGCTAATTACACTGGATGAATGGGAAAAATTGATGAACGACTACAACAAAGGACTGTTCAAATAGTGGATAAAGAACCTCGATCAACTTCCACACAAATTCAGGCTGTCACCATCGGAATCAAAAGGGACGCTATGGTAGGAGACCTAGGAGGACCCCGTTGATGACACAGAAACAAAGCTTACCCGAGGAAGCCAAAATCCTTCTGGTCCTGTGGACAGATGAGACTAAAATAGAGCTTTTGGTAAAGCACATAATTCTTCTGTTTTCAGAAAAAGAAAAGAACAGTCGTCAAACATGGTGGAGGTTTATTGATGTTTTGGGGTTGCTTTGCTGTTCAGGCACTGGATGTCTTGACTGTGTACATACCATTACGAAATCTGAAGACTACTAAAATTCTGGGGTGCAACGTAGGGCCCAGTGTCAGAAAGCTGGGTCTCCGTCAGAATTCATGGTTCTTACAGCAGGACAATGACCCAAAGCATATTTGGAAAAGAACAAAAATGATGGAAGACAAACAGACACTGGGGTTCTGAAGTGGTAAGCAATGTGTCCAGATTTAAATCCAATAGAGCACCTGTTGAGAAATCTAAACACAGCACTTGGGAGAAGTGAAAAAACCTGAAGCCGTTGGCAAAAGATACGGTCCAGAATTCCAGTACAAAGGTGTAAGAAACTCATTGATTGTTATATGAGGTGATTGATTTCAGTTATTATTTTCAAAGGGTGTGCTACCAAAAAGTTGAGAGTGCCTATTATTTTGTACTTTTGGAACTCTGTGTGTAATGTCTCAGATTAGGCTTTTTCCCTCTACTTATTTGTGTTGTTCTGATGCAAACAAAAGAAATAAACATGAGAATACCAAAAACATTTGTAATTGCAACAATTTTCTGGGAGAAGTAGTGCATTATGTGACAGACAGGCAGGGGTGCCCATATTTTTGACCATAACTGTTATGTTTGATGCAGCAGAGAAACCTCATGTGGACGAGCGAGAGACAGAAATACTGACTTAATCTTAAAAACTTGATCAATACTGGCTGCTTTGACATACAGTATTGGTGTTCAAGTTTGCTGTCTGCTGAAGTGTAAAATGTTCTCAAATTGGACAATAATACAATAACAATAAGTATCGCAATTTTTTTACAATAATATAACAAATAGGACTGCAGCTAATAATGATTTTAGTACTCAAAGCTTCTACAGATTATTTCATCGATTCATCGATGCATCGGTTAAGAAGATCGGTTAAGAAGTCTGTTGTCTGTTCCGTGGACTTGACGCTAGACTGGGTGCTTTCTGATGAGATGCTGTCGTGCTGTTGCAATAGGCGTCATAAGTCTCTGTTTACGGTGGACAGACTGTAACATTACAAAGTTGTTGTTTTCTTTTATCTTAAAATAATCCCATACTTTGGACACTTCCGCTATTTTCCCTCTCTTCCTTCACTTTGCAATAAGCGCCATCATAATCACGTCGTGTTGTTCACACAGCATAAGTGCGACAGTAAGAAATGTCCGTGCGAAACAGTGTGCTATATAGTTATATGGATTACTAAAAAGCAACGACGTAATCAATTTAATCAATGAATCGTTTCAGCCCTAATAACAAATGTTCAATAAATATTCAATAAATGTTTGATTTTATTCACTTGAATCATACACGTATAAGGTCTTAATTTTTTTGTTGATGAGGAAAAAGGACTGAAAAAATCTTACTTAATTTTACTCATGCATTTTTGTTTACAAAGATTTTATTATAAATGTTTGGAATGTTCTGCCTTAGATTTGTGAAGTGATCCATTGTTTGGCATCAAGTGTTAACCATAAAGAAGAGTTTAAACCACAATTAACCATCAGGTTTCGTCAACTTTCATTCAGGAGCAAAAATCAGCCATTAAACTTGAAAGAAACGATTTTATACATATTGTGATAATTATCGATAGCGAAAGATATGAAACTTTTTATTGTGATATAATTTTTGGTCATATCGTCTTAAGTATTTGTATCAGAACAAGATTAAGAACCTAAAGCCATGCCAGTGGCTCTGTGAGTCCAAAGCTCTATATACAGAAAACATAATTGTAAGATAGACATAAGCAGAGGTCAAAAGGTAGTTTTTGATTTGTAATCTTGGTGAAATTCATAGCAATCCATCCAGTAGTAGTCAAGACAGTTCACTCAAAATACTCCGTTAAAAGTGCCAATAAAAGAAATATCTGGGGTCAAAAAAGTCATTACAAATCATCCTTTGGGGATTATGTATGTATGTATGTACAGTACTGACAGACTTGTTGAGATATTGGTATCCCTTGTGCCCCAGTACATACACAGCATGCTACGTATGAGTGAGAACACAACACTCAGTTACATGTTTTCACACCCTGCTGTTTCTGTGGATTCACACCTACACAGGCAGGGCATACTGGAAAGTAACAACAGATGAACTGCTCACGTTGTCTAGGTCTGATTCTGACCAGCACCTTTAATGAGGCTGCTATGACATCACTACACCATCGATGCAGGTAAACAACTACATCCATACTGTGAGTACCTATCCTTTTTTGAAAGTTATTATTACTAAGTTTAGTCTGAATAAAAAGTGAATCAAAGAATGTTTTGTTATTATTCAGAATAACTCTTCTTTCTATTATCGTTTTCCTAAGTAAGTTAACTTGGCTTAGTGCAGTGGTTCTCAGGCCAAAAAAAGTTCAAGCCCCCCCTTTTCTGTCAATTGCTTCAATAAAGTCTGTGATTCAGCAGTAGATAAATGAAATAAGCCAGAGTTTTGTGGTTTCTCAGCATGGGAGATTTTACATGCCACCTGTCATCTTTGCAGCTATGGTGACAGAAAAAAATCTCCTTTGAAAAATAGTAAATACTGTAATAAGGAGGTGTAAGAAATAGATGGATACTATTATTAATAATAAACCAGTGTGGAATCAACTTAGGTTAACACATAATCAACAAAGTTACCTAAATTAAAATATATTCGCAGCACTCCCTGATTCATTATTCTAACCCTACCATCCTGCTTTATGTCCAGAATTTAACATCTAATATAATGCTTAAGATAAAGTATGTGCAGCGTGTGTGTGTTCTGTATTATTACCTTGTGTGACAGTCCGAATGATGATGAGGGTGGAGAGGATGCGTGTGTGGGAACAGGGGCTGCGGTAAAGGGGTCGGCTCCTGCAGGAGGGCAGGTCTGGATCGTGAGGCGCTGTTAACTGGGCTGGGGGCTTTGATACTTCCTCTCCGATCCGCCGCAGAGTGGCAGATAGTGCTACATGCTGTGCAAACACACACACACACCATTGCACGAAGTTCATGACTGTGCCTGCACACATTTGCTTTTGTTATATAACTGTCAAAAACAGGAATGATATGCCTACAATGGTCTTCATCAAACGCCAGTGCAGAAAACACAAGGTCAGCCTGACAGGGAGCCAGCAGGCTTCTTCTGCGACGTCATCAAAGAACTGATGGAGCCAATAAATCAGCGCAATAAACTATAGCTACTATCCAAGATTTATATATTTCCAGGGCAGAAGTGGTTTTCAAACTCACTACATCTCTGTCTACTATTCCCTCTCCCAAAAGTCTCTCCATCAGTTATCCCTTCTTCCATTTATGCACCGTGGCCTAATAGTGGTTGGTTGTTGTCGTAAAAGTGAACACATATTGCAGCAATAAGGGAGCATATGATTCCAGTTGAGCATCAAGCATGTCACTAAGCAGATATGACATAGCCTGACAAACAAACATGAAGGGACCAAGCTCCCTGCAGCAAGACTGGAAAAGAGGAAGTTGGAGGCTGTGGGTAGAGAAATGGGGGCCAAGGGCAGCAGGGGAAGGCTGGAGCCTAGCTCATTGTCTGTATTGGGAGGTTGGACAGTGAGCTAAATGTAAGGGTTAAGGGCTAGAGGCTGGTTTTTGGCCTTCACAGTAAAATAAGCCTTCAAAGTGGGACTGGGCAATAGAGCAGAATCATCTGTCACCAATTCAACCAGAAACGGACAATGTACAGCATTTGCCATGGAGGACTCTTGTGGCCTCACATCCTTATCAAAGCTACAAAGACAGGGACAGAAGCCTGTTATAATGCCTAAAATCTGTTCAACACACAGAGACAGGCAGGGGACTTCAGATAACCACGCTCCTCATCTGAACACAAGATGGAACTCTACAGGACCTCCAAACATTATAGCCTGCCATGCTGTCAAGGGAGATGTAGCGATAAAGTAGATATCCCCTGCTTGAAGTGCATGTGTACTTCTCTGATATGCGGCTATGTGCTAAGGGAAAACTGTCTGTCATGTTTGGTTTCTGCTGCATGAAGTTGTGAAAGTGAACCAGCAGCTTTCTTTAGAATAATACACTCATCTAGGCCAAACACTAAATAACTAAGGAAGGTGCAGGTCACAGAATTAACACCCTGTTGTAATAGAATTTAATCTCACTCCCCTGTGTACATTACAAAAGAAGGTCAATGTTGCTGAAAGTAGTAGTTATGCAAAATCCAGATATTACAGATACCTAAAAACAATAACATATATAGCCCACATGTTCTATTGTTATTGTTGTCGTACTGTATGCTCTTTGAAGGTATTCTATACTTGCTGCAACAGCCCAGTTTACCCACGGGAATAATAATTTCTTTACCTGTGAACTGCTGTCCATGTGTCTCAAAGCCCAGTGGATGAGGCGAAGAAGGTTGAGGAGGAGGTCAGGTTCTGACAGTGGAGTGTGATGAAGCTGATCTGCTAATAACGGCAGCACCTAAGGAAACCAAAGATAATTTATGACTTACTAAAAATGAGTTAATGTGTCTTGATCTATTGCTCTTTAAGTCACAGGGAATTTGCTACCTTAAGGCATCTCTCATTGAGTATGACTTCTGGAGGCAGACACTGGCCAACCCTGTTCCCTTCGTTTGTTGCTACTGATGAGAACTTCTGTCCATCAAGTGTCCAGTCCAGTAAGAGGGCCAAGAGCTTTAGTGGGGTGGAAATGGAGCTGTCCTGAAAAAAATAAAGACTTTCAATTATACTGCTAAAAGCAGTCATCTGTAACTTACTTTGTCACTAAATGGTGACTACAGTAATAGCTGTTATTTTAATTAGACCTTTATCATCTTTCAGGTTGACAGAAAAAAGTATGACTAGAAAAAGTGTGAACATTACACCAAGATTGTGCTTTCACTGGGTAGCCTCAAGGTGTTAATTAAACTGTGAAACAGTACTGTAAGGGAGTGTGGATCAGTCAGTGTTCTCCAAATAGGGAAAGATAATAAATCCTTTAAATGACCAGTTCAGCTGTATCCACTGATAATTCATCGTTATCAACAACAGTGATGGTAAAATAACAAAAGCACAAACTATGATTTATAATGTAAGTTGGTGGGGTAAGTGCGGTTTGTGGAGAAGGACTGTCGTACCATTTCCAGCTTGGATGTGTGTAAATAAGTGTGTTATGGTTGTCTAACCATGCTAAATTATAGTGCACAGTGTTCTTTCAATAAACACATTAACAACAAATGAAGTAATGCAGCCTTAATTAGAGCAAATCCTGCTGATTGGTGGTGCATTCAGCTGTAACACAAACAAACACATACACAGGGGTAGTTGAATTACCTTGTTGCTGGGTTTTCCAGAGGCAGCAGTTTTCTCCTTTTTGGATGGTTTAATACACTCTGTGCTAATTTTCTGACATGCTCTCGATGCTATGCTGTACTCGTATTTCCGCTGAAAAAAGTAAGTCAACGAATGAAAGTATGAAAGAACACCTGCTTCAACAAATATATTAGACATAAAAATATTTAAGTTTAACAATATCCATGCTACAAGAAATTGATGCTTTTAACTTATTTTTAGGGTGGAAAGACCTGAAGCAAAGTTCAGACCATCATGGTACACTGAAAATTGATTGTCAGAACTTAAGTGCTTTCCATACAAAACTGTCTTGACCGTATGTTTTATTTATTTATTTTTTTAAACATGACCATATGTGCATTGGTTAATATGTTGTTACCTGTAAGTTCTCAAGTCGGGCCTGTGCCCTCTTGGACTGGCTCTCCAACTTCTTATTATGTTCACTGATCTCATTTATCTGTTGATTTAAAAACAATGAATGTCAGTCTGCTATGCAAGACCACTGTCTAGACAAACACTGCTTAATATGTTTAATTCTGCGCAACAAATCTACCCTCTTTTTCGGATGGGATGTTTTTGTGTTTTTAAAGCAGGGAATGCTTCATTCAATAACAAAAAAACACCCAACAGACACTTTATACTAAGAAAACAAATGTAATATTATTAAATCTGTATCACTGTGGTATTATTCAACATCCAAATACAAGAGGGTTATGTCATAGCGCCCTCCTGTGGGCCATGGTAGTAACTGTCTTTTACTCCTCCACCCATAATGAAGTAGGTATCTGATCAGTCACTTTATTTTTAAGAAAATTCCAGTCAAACATTGACTGGTTCTAGGTACATTAATTGGATTCAGACTCCACTTTGGCAATTACTCTAAAAAAACAAAACATATAACGCTTAATGTCCTGCGCCAAAGATCATAAATGTTGCACCTTTAAACAAAATATGATGATAAAAAGAAGATTTTTGATCACAATGAGCTTTCAATCCGATAAAAAAGCTTTTAAAAACTTTGCAGGTCAAAATAAAAGTATTCTGGAGTTGGCTCACTCACTGCAACATTTCATCTTAAAATATTTTTATAATGTTTTTTATAATGTTGAAGAACCTTGGAGATGCCAACCAAATCCAAACAGACAATCATCACGGCTTGTGCTAACCTGCTTCTTCATACTGTCATTAAGCTCCTTGATGGTGTCAAAGCTGGACTTCAGCCTCCTGTTCTCTTTGCTCCTCTCTCGAAGAAGATCCTGCAGCTGGCTCAACTCTTGCTGGTGTTTCTGGTGACACACGCATAAACATTCACGCATAAAGAACAGTGCAGCCATTATTGCATACATTACACTGACTTGAGTTTGCTATTAAAATTCTGTATTAGTGGGTCCACTGTATCCTCCCATTATGTGATGGGAAGTCCTTACTGACCATGTTTGTCTGAATATTTGATTTGGCCAAAAACTGATCATAAATCACGCTGGACTGTTACAAGGGCTGGGCAATTTAACGCGTTATTATCGCTTTATTATGTTGTAACGCATTAATTAACGCCAACAATTATTTTATCACACCTTATCGCAGTTTTTATTATTATTATTTTGAAAGTCCGTTGCTCACTGGCTCTGAATACACATACAGTCAAACCATGGGTCACAGGAGGGGTGAGATGCTGATCTGCCTGCAAATCACCCACCCAAACAAGCAGTGGAGGGAGGCTTCGTCAGACTACGCTGGATGCAGCGTGTGGGAGAAGTAGATAAACAAAAACAAGACAAGTGATGAAATGCCATAGCGAAGTGGATAGCTACACACTGCATGCTGATTAGTATTGGGGAAGATGTCGGTCTTAGGAACATTCTTAAAATCACAACATAGTCGCATAGTCGCCTTTGCGGGGTTGCTCTTTGTTTCGGTGAACAGACAGGGAGAGCAACGCTCCGTGAGTAAACGGCAGGCGCACTATGGATAGTAACCAAGGCAACGGCTTCTGTGTGCTACACAGCTGTAGCCTATTTAACTTAAGTTAAAATTATAGGCTAACGTTACATATCTTAGATAGGCTTTCGTCTAGTTTTGTGGGGATTCACTGCCATGCGAATTCCCTCCTGTTGGTGTCTTATTTAGTAAACAGTTATAAATTCTGGAAACTCACAGTGAGGATCAGTCTCTCTTCCAATGATTTGTGTTAAGCGTTGCGTACAATAAATTCAAGACAATTCAACTTTGTCAGCGGGTGGGTGTGTGTGTGACTTGTTTCATCAAGCTAAATAGGTAATGCCCTGGCAGTGGCAAATAGTTTTGGTTTTATATTTGATTTGATTACATTAATGTTAAGTTGAGATTTACAAGAAATATTTTATTACTACTTTTATTACTAATATTTTATTACTACTTTATTACTACTGTAATGCGAACACTGCTGGTAAAAAGCACCTTATTTATTTAAAGCGTTTGCAAACCATATGTTTTGGCACTTTTGTGTATAAAGCAGTACATTTAAATTAAAAGTGCACAGTACACTACTTTACATTCATTATTCAATTTTGCACATAACTATGCAATTAATCGCAATTAAAAATTTTAATCATTGCCCAGCACTAATTCTTACATTTCAAGATATTGTATTTCCTGAAAACATGTCTGGGATTCACTTAAACTACCTCAAGTGTCTCAACTTTAGAACATATGTACATACATTAGTTTACACATTATCTATATTACACATTTGGAGACAGAATGTTGTGACACCACAATACTACAGTATGAAAATGCACTTTCAGTTCAAAACACTGTATGATTAGGTGTATAATTTGGAAGTTTGTCATTAAGGACCACAGAGTTACAAATGGTAAGGTGGAAGGAGTAGGAATCAAGGTGTGGTGAAAAAATATATAAAACGCCTTGTGTTGAATGTGACTGGGTGTTTGTGTCCCCGACCTCCTCTACAGCCAGCATGCCGGTGCGTACCATCTCCTCCAGCCCGGCCAGACTCCCAAAAGCCTCTTCCTGTTGCTTCAGCCTCCTCTCTCGCTCCTGCAGCTCCCTCTCCCACTGCTGCTGGCTTTGACGCTCTGCCTGTACAAAACACATACATACGCACATACGTTGGTCTTACTATAATTTATACACTGCACAACATGCATTCTCTAACCCAAACTAAAACTTAAAAGGTCAAGGTCATGGTCAACTTTATTATCAATTTCTTCACATGTACCAGAAATACAGAGAAATCAAAATTACGTTTCTCACTAATCAACCCACGGTGAAATAACATAAATAGAACAACACAAACAACACAATTTTAAGAACAAAAACAAAGTACTTGAAAACCAATACAAAGAGAACTTCCTGTATTCTGTAAAAATAGTGCAATGTTGCTATATACAAAAATTAGACGCAAACCCAGGTTTGGTAGTGCAGAATGTAAGATGTCCTATGATATAATGGTGCAGATAAACAGGGAGGTCAGAGGGGAGGGGGTGGAAGAGAGGGGAGAGAGTTCAGCTTCCTGACAGCCTGGTGAATAAAAAAGTCTGGTGGAACGAGCGCGGAGGCTCCGATATCTTCTCCCAGAGGGCAGGAGGCTGAAAAGACTGTGCGCGAGGTGGCTGGTGTCGCCCACAATCATGGTTGCTTTGCGGGTGATGCAGAGGTTGTACATGTCCTGCAGGGAGGGGAGGGAGGCACCAATGATCCTTTCAGCAGTGTTCACTATGCGCTGCAGTGAGTTCCTGTTGTAGTTAGTGCAGCTTCCGCCCCACACAGTGATACAACTGGTTAGGATTCTCTCAATGGTGCCTCGGTAGAATGTGCACATGATGGGTGGGGAGGCTCTCGCTCGTTTGAGTTTGCGGAGGAAGTAGAGGCGCTGCTGGGACTTCTTCACCAGTGATACGGTGTTGGTGGTCCAGGAGAGGTCTTCACTGATGTGCACCCCCAGGAATGTGGTGCTACTCACTCTCTCTACAGCAGCCCTGTTGAAGTTGTTGTCCCTGTAGTGGGTCTCATCATTCTTGGTGATGAGTCCCACCAGTGTTGTATCATCTGCAAACTTTAGCATGTGGTTGGTGCTGTAGGTTGATGTGCAGTCATGAGTCAGCAGGGCGAAGAATAGGGGACTGAGCACACAGCCTTGGGGGGCCCCTGTGCTCAGTGTGATTCTGCTTGAGGTGTTGTTGCCGACTCATACTACTTGTGGCCTCTCACTGAGGAAGTCCAACAGCCAGTTGCATAGCGAGGTGTTGAGCCCCAGCTAGTCTAGTTTGTGAATGAGTTGTTGTGGGATTATGAATGGATGATGTGTTGAATGCTGAACTGAAGTCTATGAACAGCATTCTCACATATGAGTCTTTTGAGTCCAGATGTGTAAGGGCTGGGTGGAGAGCAGAGCAGATTGCATCCTCTGTGGAGCGTTTGGCTCTGCATGCAAATTGGAAAGGGTCCAGAGTGGGGGGGGGGGATTTTACACTTCATGATGATGGGGGTCAGTGCCACAGGGCGATAGTCATTAAAGCAAGATGGAGTGGGTTTCTTTGGCACAGGTATCAGGTATGATGGTGGTGGTCTCGAAGCGTGATAAAACAACAGCCTGTCTCAGAGAAGTGTTAAAGACATCCTTGAAGACATCCTTCAGCTCCTCTGCACAGTCCTTCAGCACACGACCAGGGATGTTGTCTGGACCTGCTGCCTTGGGGGCGTTGATAGTGGAGAGAGTTCTCTTCACGCTGGCAGCAGACAGGCACAGAGCCTTGTCGACAGGAGGAGGTGGGATCTTCTGTGGCCGTGTGTTGTTTTGTGCTTCAAATCGTGCAAAGAACCTGTTGAGGTTATTTAGCAGAGAGATGTTGTTATCGCAGACCTGTGGCTCAGGTTTGTAGTCTGTGATGGTCTGAATGCCCCGCCACAGGCTCCGTGTATCTCTGCTGTCTTTGATGGGCTATCTTGTTTGCTTTCCTGATGCCGCGGGACAGGTTGGCTCTCGCTGTTCTCAGGCCAGTTTCATTTCCAGCTCTGAAGGCTTTGTTTCTGGCCCCAGCACTCGATGGATATCCCCTGTCAGCCACGGCTTCTTCTTAGCCCGAGTGATGATGGTTTTTGTGTGTGTCACATCGTCAATGCACTTACTGATGTAAGAACTGACCAAATGGGAAAATGCAAACACAAAATACACAGAAACCCTTGTAAAATATTCTCTGCATTTACGTTAGTGTATAATGCTGGACACACATGGAACGTAAGTCACTTTTTCTGTTTTGCATTTCCCCTGTCATAACTGTGGTTCTGCTCTCTCACCTTTAGTTTTTCATATATGGTCATCATCTCCTGGTACACCTTTACTAGTACTAAGGAAGAGGAACGGCATGAGTCATGGAGTTGAGGAGCTCTCTGAAACCTCCCGTCAGTCTCAGTTTCCTGGGACCCAGGGCTACCATCCAGACAGGAAGGCAAGGTCACATCTGGACAACCAGGGGTATGGCAGAGTTAAGCCCACAGCTAGCTCATTATCTACCAATAACAGAGGCTGTTAAGACAAGTCAAATTACAGCAATAACAGGAAGTAAATAAATTCAAGGATAAATCACTGAGGCCTACTTTATTATTCATGATCTTGTCAGGTCATTCGTTTTAAAACTGTAATCATATCAACATGACTATGCTTCATAGGATTTTCCTCAGGAGGTAGGAACCCTAACATTATTTCAGCAGCTGAGTTTGCTCTAAGGTGGTCAGTTGTCAGTTCTCCTACCTCAGAAAGAACAAACACTGGTGACTGGCTCTGACACACACGCACCTGTTTCTGTATACAGCACCTGAGAGTCCCCACTCAGGTCCTCATTACTGCCATGCAGACTACAATCACTGCCAAACCTTAGACAAGACAGCAGCGTGTTTTGTTCAAGGCATAATACTCATCACAAGCATGAAAAATTTCTAAGTAATCTCATAAGACTTACTGGTCAGGATGGTTGGTAACTGCGTTGAACAGCTCGTGTAAAGCTTTGCTGTAGCATTTGAACTCTTTGCTCGGCTGCTTGGATCTGCTGGCCAAAATGAGCCTTTGTACTGCCTCTAAAATAGTGAACATAAAGAAATCTCAGGCATACTCCCATTACTTCTCTAGAAAGTGAAATATTGGTGAATATAATTAAGTGTGTATAATGTTTAGAGACCTGGAACCCAATCAAGACGCTGTGGTTATCTGAGCATGTGGAGGCCCTGTGTGAAGTGCACTAACCATCACTGGTTCCCGAGGCAGTGTCTTCTGAGGGGGGCAACTGAAAATCAGGACAACAACTTGTTTTAGTGAAAGTAGCTTGATTACTGCTATTATGTTCTGCTACTATCTGTAAATGTCTGTTCTGCCATATCCATAGCTGGTAGAGCTAAAATTAAACGTTTAAAAGATTGCTGTGCTACAAGTTATTTAATAAGGCGCACATTCAACGTTATGACGTCATGACAACAAGCGAGCAGTGCAACACATTTGTAACGTTACTAATTGCTGGCCATTTTCTTGAAAAAAAAAAATGTATCCAGAGACAATAGTACAGCTGCTCTGCAATGTCCCCACTCCAGCAGATCTGGAAAGATTTGTCTCAATATATTATTGGTAACACTGACTCTGAATTCTGTCATTATTGGAAAAATTTACTGTTTGGTTTTCACAATAATAGTAACAGAAAGAGTTATTCCTAATCAATCTTTTGACCACAACCAAATTGAGTCACTCACAAACCTTTATTTATAATCTTTGAAAAGGAAACTGAGCAGTACATTAATAACATCCCTGATTCAAAAAAACAAGAAAGCTGTGAAAACACTTAATTTGTGCTCTTTATAAAATGTTTTTGTATGAAACCACCGCCTGGCTCTGCTTATGTCTTGTCTGTATTTGTATCATAGACTTTATATAGAATTTGTAAATGACTATTCCTGTCATTGTTCATCGTCTTTGCCAATAAAGATAATAACGTTAATAATAATAATCAAAAAAAGATTTTAACGTTACTTAGTTTCTTGACACTTGCAACAAATAAGAAGCGACACTTTGTACAGTAACGTTACAGTGATACATTTTTATATAGTCTGTGGGTAAAACCAAAGTAACTTATAGTGCTATAAAACGTATCTGGTAATACACTGACATTTGTTCTTTTCAAGTTTGGTGTGAAGTTTTTACTTCAGCGTTAGCAAACGTTACAGGGTTTATTAACGATAGAAAAGCGTTACGTTTACTTTTATTTCTATAACTTAAGAAAGTAAATCTAACCTAGGTTAGGTTTACTTTGGTGATAATAATCACACGGTTGAACAATTGACAGAAGAATGGACATAACGTTAACTAGATAAGGTATAACATTACGTTTCTTTAACAGGTTAAAGTTAGCATTGTTGCCCTGAAGTTGACGTTTGGTCTGACTAACGTTGTAACGTTAGTACATGTTGTCATTAAACCAAACCTGTTTCCTCCTGTCCAAATATTTCTGCTTTAGCTTCTCGACTGTATCAGCAACGTCGGTGTCTTTAACCTGCAGGCTCATAGCAACTGAAAATATAAAACTATAACTATATGAAACTAAAACGTTTCTATCGAGTAACTCTGCAGGCCTGAATCGCCTTTAGTCAAGATACCGCTACTGTCAAGAACCACAACATAAAAATCACTTCCGGCTAAGACTTTCGAATTAAAATTCCTCTCATGAATATGAATTGTTTGTTGCTATTTGTCGTAAATTATTTTGAAATTCCAATCACCAAACTTCCGATATCACTACTTGACTAGTTACTTTTATTGACGCAGCTCCAACCAGCCTTGTTGGTTGGAGCTGCGTGGTGGAAACAAAACACAATCCAAACTTGGCGGATGAATGATCATGTGATGCTTTCTTCCGTGCGAGTAGCGCCCTCTAGCAGGAGAGGACAGCTCTGAACAGTTTAATTCAGACACACAGCTCGGGAAATGGTTCTCAAATGGTTCTCTCATTGTAGGCTACTTGAATATCATAGTAATTGGAACAAAAGAAAGACTGTAATGTGTGCTATTCAACAGTAGGTTACTTTATGGCAGGCTATAAATAAAAAACAAACAAGAAAAGAAAAACTGTACAACAGCTGTACTATTCACATTTCTTGGAATTACAGATAAATTATATTATTTCAATAAAGTGGACAGCCAGTAGGTGATTTATAATGTCCACATCCAATAACAGAATAGGCTTACACAAAATGTATCATAATAGCAGTTCTACTAAATCGAAATTACAATCACAGTTAATATTAAATGGGCTAAGCCTGTTTGACAGGTAGTAGGTTCAGGTCTCTATTAGGCTTCTCTTTCTCTCTTCTGTTAAACAGAGCTGTTTGTTTATTTTACAATATAGTGCAACAATTATACATTATTGAGTATACATCAGAGTTTAGCAAATAGGCTTACCATTAAAATTAGTTAAAAAAAACCTCACCTACTCCAAAAGACACTGTACAGAAGTCGACGATCAGACCATATGTTGCCCCCAAGCCTTACCGTGGTTACCGTTTTTCAGACCCTCAGTGACTTTATTTCTAAAGATGTTGTTCCCACCAACATTGACATGAAATAGCCACCCTTGATTATAGGCCAACTGATTGTTTTGTTTATGTTTTGTTTCCTTTATCTCAACAGTGTTCTGAATATACTGTAAGTTAATGTGCATATTTACACAGGGTCTTATGGTGCATTATAAATAATAAGTGTATTATAAAAAATTAATTAATTAAGTGCATTATAAATTATTTCCCCGATATGAGTTGGCTAAAGCATCCTTCTCTCAAAATGTAGCTTACTTCAGTTTTGTTGTGATATCCATGTAAAAAAAAAGCAAAGTTAATAATATTTAATTAATTTTAGTTAATAAGATTTTAGTATCATCTAGTTGTACTGCTGACATTTACCACATATTGTTGAAGTTGAGCTCATTAACTTCAATAAGTTATGTTGCATTTCTTAGGGGAAAAAAAGGCTATCAAGACTTTATAAATTAACTAATTTAATCTAATTTCAGTTTTTGATATCCTGAGACGAACTACTTATTTTTTTTCGGAGGCTGAAAGATGGAGTACCTTTCCCCATCCAGCCACATTGTAGTTACACCACTAAGCCAGAGAGTGTCAGTGCCTCATCAGACACAAACTCTCACTGAGTCTGCTCTGCTGGCTTGTTTTTAGGTGTAGCTGCATGCACCACCATTCTTCACACGAGAGTTGAAATTTGCCAACTACTGGAGCCAGTCCACAAAATATCTCTGTTTCACAATACTGATCCACTTGTTTTTTTACAAGTAAGCTTGCCCTGATTTATTGCATGTGTTGTCATATACATATCACTACAAAACATACACAATATGCACAAACACTAGTACACAAGTACACAATAATAAAAGGAATAAGGAGTACTCAGTTAAAATCAAAATCAACTAAAAGGAAATAAATATGACCAACACCACATTAAAACTATTAAAATGTTCTAATAATATAACATTATATCAATACTTGTGTTGTAAATATACCATAAAGTACAAAAGGTTAATTTGTAAACACTTTTATAGAGTAAAACTATACATCTCTAAATGAATATTTCAGCACGCTTGAACTCCTAAAATCAATTCAAAGGAATAAATGACAACAACAATAATTTTGAATCATAGCAATTCCATTGTAATTAAATTGGAATATTCCATTAACACATATGTATGTAAATACAGTACCACAAACTCATTATCAGCTCACTTATCAGTAACACAGACACATTCTGAGGAGGTACAGTGTTAAAATAAAGATGTTAAAGTCAGTCTTCATTTGGGATGTCCACGGATTAACTTGAGTGCCTCTCTAGCCGACAGTGCAGCATTTGGCCATTATGTTTGGCAAGCAGTGCCCCGTTTACTCTAGACTTGAACAGTCTACAACTAGGGTTTAAGATTAATGCCCTCTTTCTCTGTTTGGCTAATTAGCAGCCACTGCCATTAATACACATTCTCATGATTCAATCACTTTGTCCCTGCAGGCTTTCTGTTGACATTGAGAGAAATTAACCTGCAAGCATACTAACACTGATCTTCATTAGAGAGCTATTTGCTTTGTCCACTTTGTATGGAAATTATTATTTTGTTATGTTAATTGGTCCTATAAGTTGCTCATTCAGAGCTTCGCTTGTCCATTTGTGCCAAAAGGAGACATTTATGTATTTGGTGTGTGTGTGTGCATGTGGGTATACTGCAGGTTTTGGTATTATGGTTAATTAGGTCAGAGGTGAGGGCAAGGGTTAAATTTACAGTCAAGGTCAAGTCTAAAGACCATGTAACCAATGTTCAGTTCTTACCAGTGTAGTTAGACACCCCGGTTCAAGGGTGTTATATCTGATTTATATCCTGTTGCTCTGCAGCCACTTACTGTAACTGAAACAGCCCTCAGGAACAGAGACAGTCTGTAGAGATATAAAGAGCGGAAATTGCATTCTTTGAATGTTAAATGCTGTCATGTGTCTGTTTTCCCACTTTGCAATTTGACAAAAGCAATACGCAGATAATGATAATGATGAGATAATTGGGTTGGATTGTCACTGAACAGTGGGACATTCATACCAAGTGCAATTCTTTTTTTATTGTACGAGAGTTTATACACCCTGTTTTTAGCATGTAGCGCAAATTATTTTCTATGTACTGTATGTGTGTGTGAGTGTGTGTGTGTGTGTGTAAAAACTGGTACAGACAAGGCGCAGACAGTCTAAAGGGATGTGGCCAGCAGTTATCGTCTGCAGCTTCTGTTTTCTGACAAATATCACAAACACATGAGCCAGCCCAGGGGACACAACTAGACAAAAGCAATCAAGTCCTATCATTGAATTAACAACATATTGCTATGTTGTATTGCAAAAGCAATTATCCCTTGTCTCATGATACAAAGCCATGCACATACACATGCAAGAGCCTTCACACTCAATTAAAGTGGTGATGGCAGTGCTCTGCTGTGAAAATGATTGCATTTCAATTGGCATGACTCTTTTAGTCCACAGAGCAGTATTATGTATGCTAATGCATGCTGTAAAGACTGATCTGGGGTTTCAGAGTGGGGGGGGGGGGGGGGGGGGGCAATTACAGTGCCTCAGAGCCCGGACAAGACACTGTCTCTGGGCATGCGAGGCATTTTTACGGGCTTTTCCATATTAAAAATATATTTTTGAGACATCATAGGGATAAGCCCGTAAAAATTTTAAACCCAACCTTAGGGTTAGATCGATGCATAAGTATAAGAGGGCAGAGTTTGATGAAACATTTTATGAATTTGGAATAAGGTTCTTGTTTCACCTCTGAGACAGTAATCTACACTGAACAAAATTATAAATGCAACACTTTTGTTTTTGCCCCCATTCATTATTAGCTGAACTCAAAGATCTAAGACTTTCTCTATGTACACAAAAGGCCAATTTCTCTCAAATATTGTTCACAAATCTGTCAAAATCTGTTAGTGAGCACTTCTCCTTTGCTGAGATAATCCATCCACCTCACAGGTGTGACATATCAAGATGCTGATCAGACAGCATTGGTATTGTACAGGTGTGCCTTAGGCTGGCCACAATAAAAGGCCACTCAAAAAGTTCAGGTCATGATGAATGGGGGCAAACAAAAAGTGTTGCGTTTATAATTTTGTTCAGTGTATGTTCACTTTTTCCCAAATGTCAAGGGTCAGTAAAGAGTAGTAACCCAAGAAGAAGGACTGCAGTGTTTTTTACTCAGCTGCACTTTTGCAGAATTAAAGCAGGGCTAACTGATAGTTAGACCGATGTATGATTAATCAGTACTATAGTTATTGCTTTTAAAGACACAATCCATGTTAAAATGTACCTCAATCACCAAATGAAGGGTCCAATTCACCCATATCTTCCCATGCAGATAGTTTTGCTTTTATGGGCCCATGTTTTGATCTACTTGTGAAACTTGTGCTGCCTCCCTATCACAGTGGTGGTGAAAGTAATTTTGCAAAGCTCAAAAGTGGAGAAAAAAGTTGAACACATTTTGAGAAACAAATTCCTGGTTACTCAAGATACTCCAAGGACCTCACTGTCCCCAGTGTAGTAGAAAGTATGCACTGAATTTCTTTGTCTTTTTTTTTTTTTGTATTGGATTTATATTAGAATCTTCTTTCTTCTCCAAAATGCTGTATTTCATCTTTAAGCCAAATTGTTACAGTAAACCAGTGGTTCTCAAATTTTTTCTGTCACACTACCCTTTAGAACTCCAGCAAAAGTGAATTTCATTTTTATCAATCAGGGCGATTTTTTTTTCTTTATGCCACCACATGAATCACATTCATGCAACTTTAGGTTCGCTAGACATCAGTGCCCCACCTGCAATGGCACTCTGCCACCCCAGGGGGCCCAGTTTCAGAACCACTGCAGTATACATATATTTATATAGAGAACATTTGATATGACATTTTGATTTAATTTTATGGTTACATCATTTCTATTTCAGAGGCTTTTCCATTGATGCTCCTTATGAACTGAAGTATCGAAGGTACTTTAAAAGAGCCTTTAGAGATAATAATTATAATTATTGTATGTATGTAATTGGATGTGTATAATAATAACAATAATTGTAATCAAAA